CCGCCGTTTTTGATTGTGTGCCCCGTTTAGATTGTGTTCACCTGTGTCTAATTAGTTTTCCCTTCTATAGTATATATTCACTCAGTGCTAGTTCGTCTGTGGTCTCATGTGTTGTTTTCTTCATTCTTTACCAATTCAACTTATTGGATTTATTGGATATGTTTTCTCTCATGGACTTGTAAGTTTTTATTTGACCACATTTTTGTAATTAAACTTATCCTGCTCTGCTATTCTGCATTTGGGTTGTATTGTGTGCTCTACTCAACTTAAAAAACTGGACCATAAACTATAAGCTGAAAGACTAAAACACTGTAGAGCTGAGGGGAACTGCAGAGTCTGGCAGTAATTCTTGGTGGAGAAAAACAGGCATTCAAAACACATTCAATTAGGCAGAAAACCAAATCAAACTAGGAATAAAAGGGAAGCGTTAAGGATGTAAATGTGGACAGGATGGGGAAGCATGAGGTGAAAAGTGCCAGAATTTGCATGCCAGGCAAATTTTGATTCCCCAGAAAGTTCTGGATTTCAAGCAGCCAAGTAGTGATATCTAAAAAGGGGAAGATGAAAGCGGAGATAAGGGCCTCAGCATCAACGGAAGGAGAGGCATGAAACACCACAAAGATGTTTTGTGAAATATCGGAGATCTCGACATCTGGTCAAAGATTAGTCCCATGGTGTTGAGCTGGATTGTGTAGGAAGGGAAGGTGCTGCAGCCATCAGACGGAAAGGAAAGAGGTCGGAGCCAAGAAGGAGGATTTTTTGATTTGTTGCCTCTGTGAAGTTGCGTAGCATCCAGGTTGTAAAAGACGTGTTGTGGTACGAGGGTGAGGGTTTTGAAGGTGTAGTGGTTGAGCAGCAGAGAGAAGGTGTGAAGCCAATCATTTTGATTCTCATTGGACTATCGACAATCTTAGCTGCTGTTTCTACCTGTAAAGAATATAATACAGCCAAAACCCCTTTGATATTGATCCAGCTCCATATGTTTATGGGAACATACCAACACGCTTCAAAACAAACATAGTAAATTATATCCATCTGTACAGATGTAGATCTGACATGATGAAATAATTTACTGGGAAAAAAAACAAAAACTTACTTTTACTGTTCTCAGTGCTGTTTGGCAATGTTAGATGTATAAACAAAAACGATTTTAGCATTGATTTCACATGTATGCAGTCTTCAGTTCGAGATGGAAACCCATGATAGAAATGCTCCTATTTCAGCGCAATTAAGAAAAATGAAAAAGCAGATAATAAACACTGATGCAACTGTCAGTCGAAATTATCTCAAAAGACAAATATCTAATGGTAGTTTGATGGAAAATAAACATTTCTCAAGGTCATTACTACCTTCTTCTTAACAGGATGGAGTAGCTCAGGTGACATCGTATTAATTTGACTGAAGTTACATTCTTGGGTGATGTGATGACAACTGAGCATCTTCTAAGGGAGACTGTGAGATGCGAATGAAAGCTCCAGAAAAAGCTAGTACGGGGCCTTGAGTCAAGTTTCTTTTTGGATTACAAGGTTTAGAATGAATAAATAAGAATTTTCATCCTCAATTATTATGTTGTTTGCAGTTTTATCAATATAAATCCAACAACTCTGTAATCTACGTCTACCTTTGAGTACAATAAAGTGTTTCGACTCCAGTTTACCTCGTTTTCTATCTCCTGCTACATTGGGTCTCTTTGTCAGAATCCTCTCTGTTTATTTAAGTTCTGCATTCAACATGATCCGGTGTCATCAGATGATAAATAAGCTCCAGACCCCTAATTTCACCCCATCTCTCATCCACTGGATACACAACTTCCTCAGGGACAGACTACATACTTTAGGGCAGGGGTGTGAAACTCATTTTAGTTCATGGGTCACATACAGACCAATTTGATCTCAAGCGTGCTAGACCAGTAAAACTATTACATATTAACCTATAAACAACAGTACCTCCAAAATGTTCCCTTTCTTTTAGTGTAAAGAAGTACATTTTGAAAATGTTTACAAATAATGAACCATCAGGTGGTGAACAGCCTGAGATGTCTTTAGAAAACTGTCATTACATCTGCATTACAATTTACAGATCACTGCGGATCTACAAATGCACAAAACATGTAGTCACATGTATTTTTGGAACTGCAATAGCATTTTATTTCTATCTTTGTCCAGTGGATAAATTAAGAATAGCAGTGCATTTGGCGTAAGGGCTGTATGTTTGACACACCGGCTGGAAGGGTCGGCATGACAACATCTCCACCGGAGCCCCACAGGACTGTGTCCTCGGCCCCTTCCTCTACGCCCTGTACACTTATGACTGCACTAGCCCATCTCTCATACTCACAACAATGCCATACTTCTTCATGACAATCACTTTGTGATGACTATTCAACACATCTCTCATTTCTTTCAGTATTGTAACAATAACCATCTACAGCTAAATGTGAGTAAGACAAAGAAACTGGTTTGCCAACTCCAACACAGACTGCATCTCCCTGAACCCCATTTCCACCAATGTTGAGACAGTTGTGCAAGATGAGTTTCAGTTACCTCAAAACTCAGTTACCTTACACTGGACAGTAAACTCAGTTTCGACCAACACAACACTGACATCAACAAACACTGACAGCGAAGACACTTCTCCATTCTCCGACCCAAAGCGCTCTCTTGTTGCCCGCCAACTTCTGTTTGTGTTTAACAAAAGCATAATTTAATCCACTTTACTCCACTGCTCCCCATTTTCTCACCATGCTGTCTCCAACTAGAACAAGTTGTCCAGTGTTACACACACTGCTTCCAAAATCATTGGTCTCCCAAACCGCAACCCCTCAGATCTCGATAACAGACCACTCATGTGGCACTCACCATGACATTTCCCTCAACTCAGCAGATGCAGGACCCTGCCATAGGGAACAGTGCTGCATTGCATAGCTTGTGAATCACAAGAACACAGCATGTATTCTCTACAGCTGTATTTATGTTGAATGTAAATGTAAAAAAAAGTGTCTCCAGCTGCTCTGTGAGGTTGAGCTTAGACACAGCGGTGCCTTTAGCAAAATACTGCCATCAACATGTTAACACTCACAATAACAATGCTAACCTGTTGATGTTAAGCAGGTTTAATTGTTTACCATGTTCGTCATCTTAGTTTAGTGTGTTACCATGCAAATATAGGCTAATTAGCATAAAAGTAGGCCTACAGTTGAGGCTGATGGGAATGCCATTGGTTTTGCAGGAATTTGGTCATTAAAAAATAGTAACCAGAAGTACTGGACAGAATAACAATTTGAACTGATGATGACACGAGGTGAGAAGTCAGAGGTTCAACAAAGTGATTTCAGTTCATACTTTGGGCAAAATCTGTCTGATGCAACAAAACAATGACATAATGTTTAAAAGGTTTTTTGTTCTGTGTGTAATGGCTACACATTTTTACGATTTGAAAATCTGAGAATCACTTTAGGACTAGAAGAACAATAAATGGAAATGAAAATGTTATAAAAACTAAGTTTCCACATAATGCTTTTTTATGAACGCCTCAAGGAGCCACTAAAGTGGATCTAAAGAGCCACATGTGGCTCTGAAGCCGGAGGTTGCTTACCCCTAGCCTAGACCGACATGCCACTCATTATAGCAGTAGTAAGGTGAAAAACTGAAAAAGCAGAGCCGTCAGCTGGAGATGTAACTGTTTCAACATAATGATAAATGGATGTCACATTTTCCAAAACTTATCTGACGATCCCTTTAATGGGAACCAACATTTTTCACGTTTAAGAAATCACAGACTATATGTTACAACACTCTTTCTCGCTGTTATCCAACAACAATTAGTGGGAGATGCAGACTTTCAGTTGTACAGCAATAAATCCTCCTGCCAACAGGCTGACAAATGATGCAGAAAAGGAGGATGAAGGAGGGATCAAAAAGAAAACAGTAAACACTGTTTCTTTAGTAATATTTGATAGTGTTGAAAATTCTTCCAAGTAGTTACATAGGGATGGACATAGCTAAAACATTTGCAAACATCTTTTTCATAGAGCGAAGAAATCACAGACTCTCAAATTGTTCTTCCTCAGAGGAGGCCTTACAAAGGTCATCACCTGATGACAGAGTAATTGATCTCCCTGAAGATTCCTCTACATGGAAGGATGCCCAAATTGTCAAGTCAGTGAGGCTGCATTTTCTTGCTTTGAGCAGTGAATTCCTCGCACCAAAACCCAGATAAACGGGTGTCAAGACTCCGAGTTCTCTGCCATCAACCACCAATTACGTTGCAATGCACTGGACCTTTACCCCCCTCCCTGTGGGTGGTGAGCCCATAATGTGACTACACCCTGTTTGTGAGCTGACCCAACCTGACCCTGTGGGTGCTAGCCAGGCAACCAGCTCCCAACTCAGATACGGGCTCACGGTTGGGGTCCCAGTTTCCTTATTATGTGTCCACTTGAATACAGCTCCCAGGGTCACACAAACCCATTCACTACAATAAGACCCAGATTCTGCGAGGACAGAGTGAAGAGCTAAGACATCCCAGAGAAGCTTAGAGAACTTGTGTTCCTTCACATTGAAAGTAGCCAGTTGAAGTGGCATCTTTATTCTTTATTCTTAAATTGGATCCTCATTAGCTTCCACAAAGTGGTCGCTAGTCTTCCTGGGGTCCACACATTTGATCAGGGTGGCCCTGTGTGGAGGTATTCTAGGCACATCCGAACACACCCAGAACACCCATCTGATATATAGTCTTAAATACATGCTTAAAAAATCCTGCTTGCAATCAAGCGTCGACCTGACAGAACAAAGAGAGGAAAATAAACAAGAAGCCGCATTATTGTTTCTATGTGTGTGACGGGAGGTCTCAAGAGAGTGTGGTGAAGTTTTTGATTTTCTTGGCCAGTGAAACTGAATTAACCTCCAATCAAAAAAAAAAAAAAAACAGGGATTATTATAATAATCAAGTGTGTTTATGAACAGTAAACAATGTTTTTTTTCTATCATGTACGACCCTAGTTTGGAGCCAAGTGAAGACCAGACGGCTGTTTGCGAGGCGAAAGATTTCTCCACCACAGGAAAGTCACATTCCTGTAAGTTTACTTTGTTTTTCCTTTTCAGTAAGGCATGCTCATGAATGCATGAAATGATAAGTTCTTGACTAAAGGCTGTTTGAATGTAAATTTTGAAGGCAGCTGGCAGTGTATGTTTTTATTTGTTGCACATGTGCATGAATGTTTTAATCCAAATTTTCCCTCATATTTCACTTCAAAGTTTGAAAACCACACATATTCAACTACAGCGTCTTCTTGTTCCTGCATTTCATAGAAACGTCTTCATACAAACCATACTGAGTGAAATATGTTTTTATGATTGTTGCTGAGTGCATCATTTGGACAGATTTTCCTGTAATTCCTTATGCCTTTCGGCCTTGAGATAGAATTAAAAACATTTAATCTCTGGTACCCCCCAATGGCAGAATAATGGTAGACGGAAACATACATCCCACGGGTCCAACAATGAGATGAGTGGGTTGAAAACAACACACACACACACACACACACACACACACTGCACCAATTTCCTCCAGGAAGGTCTCATGTCTCAAAATAATAATAATTAAATAAACAAATACAGCAAACAGTTTTATTCCAGCATACACAGAGAAACATAGCATTTGTTTTGAAGTTGTGTTTCTGGCCACAATGAATGGAAGTTCAACACATTAATTTTACCTCTATCCTGGTCTCCACAACCTCCTGAGGGAAGTATCTGCTAGCGGTAACATTGTCTGTCAGCTGTTTAATGCTGTACAGTAGGATCATCTGAGCATTTTCACAACTGCATGTTGTTTGAAAACAATGCTGATGAGAGCAAAGTAAATAAAAAGAGTAAAGTTATGGGCCATTAAACCAAAACAGTGAGCTGAAAGACACTAAAACGCTCTGGAGAGCTGAGGGGAACTGAGGAGTAGGGTGAAAATTGTCTGAGCGACCCCTTCACATTACATCTTGTCATTTGACCCATTGTGCATATAAAAATATTGATTAGTGTTCTTTGTGTTTAATCTATGCTTTTCCACCCACGAGTAGTTGTGAGAATGTAAATAATGTAAACTCTCCCTCTGTTGGTGTTCTTCCAGAAACATAAGTCAAACCTTATGACCCCTGCTCGTCGCTGTGGCCGCCTGATGGAAAGCTGCTCCTCTCACATGCCGTGCTGCGATCCCTGCTCCTCCTGCCGCTGTCGCCTCTTTAACACTATCTGCCACTGCTGGAGGATGAACCCGCTGTGCTTAAAGAGGACATAGACGAAGCACAAACACATGTGCAGACACAGCCAGCACCTGGACATATAGAGCGATAAGACATATTTACACAGAGAAATGCACACACACAACACACTTCAGGCCTGTGGGTTTCCTATGTTACAGCACAGGTTCAGTTCAGAGAATAGTATTACTGTTCAGCTTAAACTAGAAACATTTGGAAAACAAAAACCATAATGACACAATAAAGGTCAAAGTTCTTTCCATTGGCTGAGGCTTCAACACTTCAGTAATGGAAGGAGAGACGGGAATGAAAGAGTGAAGTCTGGTTTTCTGCTTTCAGTCTACTGAGGCATGAATAAGAAAACACCCACAGAAATGTTTACAGAGTATCCAAATACCCAACATACAGTAAGTGTAACAAAGGACGACTGACGTGCTTTTTCATGTATGTAGACAATCACATGTAAACTGTGTTGTGCCTTAGGTATTTCCCACACTGTTGCTGCTTTTGAATGTCATCATAATTTCTGCCCTCTGCTCTACTGCCATGTTAAACATGTTGGAATCCATAATAACTGCATTTACATCAGAACATACATTTCTTTTTTAAAACTCACTTGCCTACAAACTAAATGTGGAAAAAATCAAACAAAACCATATTTTTAGAGTCATCAAGATTTTGTGTCCAATCATGGCTTGGAGAACAGATATATTTGGGTCTTATTACCAATTATATGTATGGACTTATGAGTTAAAGTTAGTTTATATTTTTGCTATTGAATAAATACATCATGAGCCTATATTGTCCTTGTGTTTTTGTTTAGTTGTTGCTTAAACGTATAATTACAAGTCACTTCTGGGAGGAAGCAACATTTTATTTAGGAAATTGGAGACATTCAATGAAACTAATGCAAAAAAGTAGTTGTTGTGCAAGTGTTTGCCGGCAGCTATCTTATGAATAAACAAGAACTTAATCTTAGTATTCTTTCAATAAAAAAAAAAACACTGGGAATCTTAGATTGCATGGGAAGCAGAAAGATCATGAACATTAGCTCTGTGTGTAGGGGGCCAAGTGTGTTTCCAGGAAGTGTGTACATGCACAACAAACAATAAAATAGACATAATGCAGTTTTGCATCTCTTAAATCCTATCCAGGCAATCTTTGCCCCACATACTGTATTAACTTGTCTGGAACGCTGCCTGCTCCTCTGATGGAAAGTGAAGAGAAGGAAGGATATACACATAATGAAATGTAACAGTAGCTGATATTATTTGATTGATAATCTATTTCATAGAGGTCATCATATGTTCAGTATATTCTCAAAAGCCATGAACATAAAGGAGTTAAAGATGTGATATGTTACTGAAAAGAGCCTAAATAACATTACAGTATTGTATCTGTGATTGAGAAACCCATATAAGGTCCCTGAGGTGAACACATGTACTGTGTCTGATTAAGTCAGACGTGCTCAAATTAAAAACAGTCATGCATGTAGGGAGGAAGATATGAGGACAGCTCTGTGATTATTTTAACATAAGTCTTCGAGGACTTCAAGGAATATTATAAATGGCAAAAATGTAATCTACTTCTTTCATAAACCACCGGATCAGTCTTCTTCTTCTTGGCACAGATTTGTTCTAACAAGTGCAAAATGTATAAGCGGACACTGATTGGACATTTCCTCTTACAAATAACAACATGTTCTTTGATTTATATACTTTCATTTAGATAATTCTTTTACTGGATACAGAGTGCATTACACTGAAGGGGGAAAAAAAGAGCAATTAACCTGTATAGACAGACTGAATGCACTCGAGAGCAGGAACTGAGACAGCAAACACTTTTAGAGCAGCTATGGAATTTCTTAGTGTCAAAGAGGAAGGGAAAATAACTGCATGAATGTTAGTCAGAGAGGGAATAATGCAGAAGTTACTGTAAAAGAAACAAAGAGAGACACATCTGCACAGAAAAACACCACTTTAACTGCAGCCAGGCTTGTTGGGAGCTCTTTTGGCATCATGGCAGAGCTCAGTTTCAATGTGGATCACGGCTATCTGGAGGGTCTGGTTCGAGGTATGAAGGCCGGGATTCTAACTCGCACTGACTATCACAACCTGGCCCAGTGCGACACACTTGAGGGTAAGAATATTGTTTCTCATTGTCATTTTTGGAATGTATTATAACCTGCCAACAGGCTATACCTGCAGCTACACCCTTTTCTTTTTTATTCTGGTGGTGTGTGTGGGTAGCTGCAGTGGAGTGCTGACAGGACCTATCTTATCAGTTTCTTCACCTGGATCCCATTTTTCAAAAGATAAAGTGAATTTTCTTTCCAAGAAACAGGCATTCCTTTCTGGTAGAGAAAGAAAGTCAGTGAAGACGAAGACCAATGAGATGTTAGGTTGTATTTGTATATTTATTCATTTTCAGGAATGTTTACACTCCCTTCACTAGTTGTAATAGTTTGTCTACACAATTTTCAAAACAGACTCCAATATTGCAGAATTGTGTTATACACCATATGTGTTTTGTATATTATTTGTCTATGGTGTGTGCAGTAATAGTAAGTCATAATCAGCTGTAATGTGTTAAACATGTCAATCAAAAGTCAGGAATAACCATATGTGAATTATATAAAGTATGAGTCACCTCTTTTTTTTTTGTAAAAGCAACCTAACACAAAGTGGGAAAAAACCTATGATTTGAGAGCAGAGATGCCTGTGATGTACTGGACACAAGTACAAAACCTTTAGGTGTTTTTTCTCCTCAGACATGAAGCTGCACCTGCAGAGTACAGATTATGGTAAACTGTTGTCCTCCTCTGAAGAGGACCTGACTGTGTCTCTGGTGGACAGCAAGCTGAGGGAGTACCTGGTGACTGAATTCAGCTGCCTTCGCTCCAACGCCCTGCCTCCATTATCTACCTTCCTTGACTATATAACGTATGTTAAGACACTACAATCATAAATCATACAAAGGTCACAGGATAATTACTTTTACTGCATTTATATATCCATTCAACATTTTCTTTCTGGTTTTTTTTATCTCCAAAAGAAAAAAATAAAAATTAAAGGCCTTTTTATAAGGGAACTATGTCCTTAATAACACGGATGTAATAAGAAATATCATGCAGACAAATAAAAGCACATCCATTCACTCTGTGTTTCCATAGCTACAGCTACATGATCGACAATGTGGTGATGCTGATCACCGGGGCCCTGAAACAGAGAGATGTAGCAGAGCTCCTCCCGCGGTGTCACCCACTGGGAGCGTTTGACCAAATGGCCGCAGTGGGCATCGCTCGAACCCCGACTGAGCTCTACTCAGCCATCCTGGTGGACACACCGCTGGGTAGAGTCATCAAATAATCTTTGTTTAATTCCCAAACATAATAATAATATCACTCACAGAGTCGTTGCAAGTCATTATAGACAATTAACCATCACCAGTTTACTTTACAGTGGGAGGAAACACCTCTGTTAACTCTTTGGTGTATGGAAGCCCATTTGTGCTTGGAAAAATGAAAACAAAAGAAACTTCTGGTTAAGTCAAAAATGTGATTTATTATCTTAGAATTTTAACTTTTATGTCAAAATGTTGACATACAGTAAAGTGGTACAGTGACAACTGGTGACTAATAGTAATTGGCAAGCTAACCGCTAAACACGCTAGCCAGCCAAGTGTATGTAATCAGTCACAATAACTTAAGGTTCTTTCTATCTTCTCTATCCTGAGCTATTTACTCCTCATGTTTTGTTCTCAGGAGTTCTTGAAAACTAATTGATAGTTAATTGCCAGTTAGCAACACAGCTAATAAGTTATGAAAGCTTTCTCCATTTTTTCTCTGTCAGTTTTCTATTGGTCAATGGCACAAATTTGCTGGTCACACATTTAATCCTTCAGAATAAGTCCATTTGACTGATTTGATTCCTTGCAAAAATGTCTTTAGTAAGTCACAGTTTTGATTTACCACACGTTGGGTTTTTTGTATCATTTATATTGTGAGTTCTGTTAGATTAAAAAAAGTCATATATGATACAGACTAATGACAAAAGTGATGCACACTGCATTGTTGTGTCATAGCTCCCTTTTTCCAGGATGCTGTATCTGAGTCCAACCTGGATGAGATGGAAGCTGAGATCCTCAGAAACAAACTGTATAAGGTGATAGTGAATGTGTGTGAGTGTCCGTGTAGATTATGGACTGTAAAATTTACTGCTGTGTCAAACATGTTGAACAATCCCAGATGACATTTCGTGTTGTGCAATGGCTTGCTGACCATCTTTGGTTGAGGCCAGGTTTTCACATACATCAGCAGATGTCTGATGATCTTTTGTTTTTTGTTTTTAAAGGCATATTTAGAGTCTTTCCACTCTTTCTGCAAGAACATTGGTGGTGCTACAAAAGATATAATGTGTCCTATCCTGGAGGTACTGTAGAATATCCACTACATGAGCTGGATTTCTTTCTATATAAGACATTTTGCTGAAATGTTCTGTCTATATGTTCTTTTTACATGTGTGTGTTCTGCAGTTTGAGGCAGACAGGCGGGCCTTTATCATCACAGTGAACTCCTTCGGGACAGATCTCAGCGGTGCAGACAGGAGCGCGTTATATCCATCTTGTGGAAGACTTTACCCTGAGGGGCTGCGACTGCTGGCGAAGGCTGAAGACCACGAGCAAGTCAAAGCTGTGGCCAACTGTTACCCAGTGAGTCTGATCTTATCTTTGAGAGCTACTGTGTTGTTACTGCACTTAACTGAGGTCAGACACATGGCTAACTTTAACCTAAATCTCCCTGCAGGAGTATAAAATCATTTTTGAGGACCCTGAGCCAGGATCCGACTTCAAGACTCTGGAGGACAGATTCTTTGAACGAGAGGTAATATAACTTTAATGTTTGTTCAGTAAGAGTGGTGTGCGATGTGAACTGATGCAGCGCCCAGATGATTCCTGTTTTCATATAGTAAAATATTTGGAACAAGCAATGCATTTCACACACAAGTGTGGGAATTCAAAGTTCAATGTATAAGTATGGACAGTTTGATTAAATTTTTATTTTAAACTCAAACTAAGCTTGACCCTTGTGTAAACTGTGTATCCTAGTAAATCTGCCTTTCTGTCTCTCTGAGCAGCTTCAACTCTTCTCTTTTATCTTTTCTCAGGTGAAACTGAACACACTCGCTTTTCTGCAGCAGTTCCACTTCGGAGTGTTTTACTCCTACATCAAACTGAAGGAGCAGGAGAGTCGCAACATCATCTGGATCTCTGAGTGCGTCACACAGAGACAGAAGTCCAAGATAGACAACTACATACCCATCTTCCCAGGAACAAATTAACTGAGCAATAAAGAGAAATACATATATTTAACACACAGTTGTAAGAGAGCATACAAAGAGGTAATAAATGCACTTAATCAAAAAGTATTTGTTGAGCTCCTTATGATCCAAGTTTGGTTGTGAGGTTTGGTTATTGTGGTTGCACTACAATCAGTCACAAATATTTTCAGTGTTTGTACTACAGACCACAGAAAATGAAAAATAATTAGGCCTCCACTCGCTATAGTTAGTGTGTTCACATTGACATTACTGGCACAATATCTGCGTATGTAAAGAAGGTAAACATGTACATAACAGGACGTATAATAATGTGTAACTATACAAAGAAGTACACAATTTAATACAAAATAAAATGTATTGAAGTAATGTTGCAAAAACAGTGGTATAAAAGTGTAACATTAGTTTTAGCAGCTAACAGAGGTCATAAATCACCCATCTTTGCTCTTCATTAGCTCGTCCCTCCTTCAAGCTTTCACTGAAACAAAAAGACAAACAAGAGGGTAAAATCTATGTTTTGCACTGATACATTTTAAACATCTCAAGTATCAAGATGTGTGAGATGTGGTATGAGTCTAATGATGCACATCTTGTTTGTATAATAGTCTAACTTACAGCACTGGACAGGAACCTCCAGAGGTATGTAGTTCTGCTGGCAGAGATGAACAAAAGCAGATGCTAATCTGCAGGGGGCTCTGGAGGAGCTCAACTCACACACAGACAAGAACTGACCAGGATCCACCTGACAACGCAGACACAGTTTTGTAAACATGAAGCTCACGCACAGTTTCATTTATTTTGTCTTGCTGATATCAGTTTCCTCCATGTCACATCCTTGACTTCATGACTATGGCAGACAGCAGCGGATTGTCAAACATTCATTAAACAAACTTAAATAAGATATATTACATTTATTTAAGCTGAAATGTGTATATTTATTTGGCAGTATTTCTGTTTGACAGAACAAAGACGTTACATTTCAAAACATTTTCTTAGACCAGGTTTTTGTGTCATCTAATCTATGAGTGATATTCACAAGTGCATAAGGTCGTGTTTGTTCTAACATATGTGAACTTTTCTAATGTAAGGCTGAGTTTCTTTCCTTGGCCATGAAATCCATGAAAGGTTAGAGAGGTCAGGGCTGTCTGGTGGGCTCTGTGCCAGATATATGCTTTCACAGTGTCTTATTTCCACATCCAATTAAGATGAAAAGAGAGAAAAGAGTGTTATTCTACTCACCACCCTGAAACAGGAACTCAGCGGAGAATCCAGAGAAGAGAACAGAAAGTGGCAGCTCACAGGGCTTGTGTCCACAGGAAAGTTCTCTGTTACACCAGGCGGTTTAATACACTCTGGTTTCATCTAAATACACACAAAAAAACAAACTGCAGGTGAGATCTGGATACATTTATGACAACATAGCTCCACCAGCATGAATGTGCAGACATTATAGACACAAGTATTTAGGAGTTTGCTTCCCATTTGTCCCACCTGCCAACTGTAGAAAAGACTGTTGAGGTTTTCAGCTTGAGATCCGTCAGCTAAAGGAGCATCGTTCCCTGCTTCATTGTCGTTGGTCCCTAACAGGCCAGTGGACGCGCCTGTGCAGATAAAAACGTGCTTAAACACGGGACAACCGTGGACTTGTTTGTACCAAGTCAAGTGTTTTGTTTTCCTACCATGCAGCCATCCATCCAGAGTGAAGCTGCACACCTCAAGCGACAGGTCACATGACACTGACGCTCCATTCTGATTGGACACCTGCACGCTGTTTGGCCCACTTTGGACAGCCACTCCATTGTCACCGTGAAACGTGTGCATTGCAGCATTATGGCAGTTGGCCTTCACCTGCAAGACAAACATTTTATTTTATTTTTTGCAGAAAACAAGATGTTTTGGGGTGTTAACTGAGACACCAGCATCAACACACACCTGTCCATTGTGTTGAATGTTGACGGTGCTGTTATTCATTTCTATCAGAAGGAAGTTATGTGAGTCTGAACTGAGCAGCAGCATGAAGGAAGGGTCAGCGCTGACGTCTTGGGCGAGGAGCAGTGGACAGGAGCCCGGGAGCTCATACAGGTGACCGTCAAATGTCACTACAAACTGATCTGCCACCAGCAGAGCTTGGTCTTATAGAGGGAGACAAAATGAGAAAGACATTAAATTAAATCCTCCGTTATAACCATATTGCTAAAAAAAACTTCAAACCATACTTACGTCTAAATGGGCTGTCCATGATCTTCCTTTTGAGGCGGTATAGTTCAGCTATGGGTCTGACAGAGGCAAGGGTCTGCAGAGGCCTCAGAAGCCACTCCTCCAGGAGAATCTCCACCAGTCCGGCCTCGGCCACCCTGGACCAGGGGAGCGATGGCAGCGGGACTGACACAGTCACTAAACACTCACTGGAGAAACCAAGAGCACTCGATTCAAAATATCGAGATTGGCAGAGCGTCTCAAACTTTAGTAAGGTTCTGCTTTTAATTAAAATAAAGTCATTATCAGACAGTTATATGTAACCTCCTCATCCAAAAAACTTTCATGTCTTCAACTTTCTCTCAAATTTAGCCCAGTTTCTATCCAGAAATCTTTTGACTGTAGTTCTTACCAGGTAGGATGTGCATACTACAACAAATGAATATATCCCTTCTCTAACCTCTTTAAGTAATGTCATGAAAGGAAGGGCATACAGAGTCCTTCTTCATGTAGGTTGTAGTACCTGGGGAAGAATTTGTAGACAGAAGCAAGTCGTTTTCTGACTCCAGACAAAGCCATTGCCAACCTGGTCTCCAGCCAGTGGTAGGTATGCTGACCTGCCTGGTTCACACAGAATACAGACCATTAATACCCATTAATGTACATGTTTACATGCATATTAGTATGATGCCTTTGATGCTTATCCTGGTTTTGGTCATATTTGGAATAAGACGTTTACATGGAACAAGAGAAACTTGGATACAAACATCCCTGTATTTATGATTATAACATCAGTGCCCCGACATCACTGCAGGTTCTTCTTTGACTCCTCCACATCCAGTAAATCTGTTACAACTAGTTTCCTGAACATTACTATATTTAGCCTTTCCATCTGCTCTGCATTACCAAATTCAGACCTTCACTTTTATTTCATCATGTAGATCATGCACCTGCACATATAACACAATGACAGGAGACCGGGATAAGGTCTTTACATACCACAGTACCTCAGTTTCATATCCAGGTTTATCAAAACAGGGATAAAAGCTAAAATCTACTTACATGCACAAAACATTAACAGGATACTCCAAAAATCCAATCAAAACTGGGATATTTGTGTGTATGTAAACATACTCACTGACACACTACAAAATACATGCTTTACATTAGCCAAAGAGAAATTCTTAATATTTCTAAAGGTCTAACACAAAACTAGAAAAGATGGCTGATTTCTCACAACATCCAGGGCGATGCTGAGCACGGCGACGCTGGCCTGAGCCAGCGGCCTCAGCTGAGGGTTCCCCAACAGAGCAGGTAGGACCTCCACCGGCCCGTCGGTCCAAAAAGAAACAGCCTCCCTCCACAAAGCCTCCGGCCTCTGGCCCTTCACATCCTGGTACACACCTGCCAGAGTAGCCAAGGGCCCTGAGGACGGAGCACGACACAGTGTCAGGGTTGGTTTTTTTCACTCTTCTTATGAGAGCATCAGCAGACAAACTTCAATTTCTCACATTGAAGTCAAGAGAAACAAAAAAGCACACAAAAATCGTGATCGTTTAAGAAGAAAATGTTAGAGAAAGATGCTTTTTGTACTTTAGATTATGACGTAAAAGCAAAAAGGATTAGGTTATGATTTAGAGATTAGATTTCTGCCTGTGAGGAAAGGCAGGGGCTGACTGTACTGTTTCAACTAAAGGGCATGTCTATAATTACAGCAACCAAATTTACTGTGCAAACACAACCACAGCACACCACTCTGTCATTGTGGAGTGTGTGCCTGTAGACGTGTGTACATTAAAAAGACTCTCATTTGTAGACAATGTCAGTTAAAGGGTTGTTTCAAGTAAAAGTCCCACAATATGTTTTTATGAAATGAGAACTGAAGCAGCAGAAGGTGACTTGCTCATCGAAACAAAATCACAACTCCCTTTAAGATATTTGATGGCTGACAGCTGCTGGTGTGACTGGTTAGTGTCATCTCTCTAGACTCACTCCTCAGTTCCTGTTGTCCCAGCAGAGAGGCGTGCTGCAGCAGGCCAAGAAAGCGAGGCAGACTGTCGGTCACGATGCGACACAGAGGGCTGTTCTGCCACACAGACGTCAAACTGTTGTCTCTGTGCCCCAGCAGCAGAGCCTCGGCTCGCTGGGAGACAAGAAGCGGCAGGACACTCAGCTCCTGGAGCAACTCGCTGTCTCTGGACTGCAGAGGATGTTGTGAAGAGAAGCACATTAAAAGCTGCACATTTAAACCCGACATGATAAACCACTACATGTATTTGTGTGCATTAAGTATCCTGCAGTAGTTTGTGTATGTGCTGTGTGTTGTGGTTACCTGCCGTCTGAATTCAACAAGGAGATGCTGCAAAGTCTTGATTCTCTCCAACAGCTTATTGTGAATCTGAGAGCTCAAATATCGGATACGTGCCTGTGAACACAACAACACACAGTATTTCAAAGTGTCACGCCATATTGTATTACTTTGTACTTGTAGCCTACTTTTCCTGTTGGTCATACCTCCACTGCAGTTAGACCTTCCAAACAACCTCTTGCTCTCAGCATCAGCCTCTGATTGGTTGATCCCACAGACACACTGCCCAGAGTCTCATGTTCGCTGCTGCCGTCTCTCTTCTGCACATCCAGCACCAAACTGCGATTTGTTCCCACACATGCCACCACAGTGATGTCCTCCTTCAAACCCGTACCTGCACATGAAGAGACTAAATTCTTCATAATCATAGTTTGTATATTTTTGCAAGTATTAGAGAGAAGATTGTGTATTTACCGTTCATGTAACCTGCTGTGGTCTGAAGACATTGTCCCTTTGCTGTTCCGTTCAGCCAGACCCTCTCTCTGCGGTCCAGTCTGGCCTGCACCTGGAGACCAGACCCTCTGGGCCAAGACAGGGCACTGCCCGCCACCTCCACACTCCAATTACCCATCCTGGACTGTAAAGTGTACACACACACACACACACAACCATATAAGGGTCTCTGGTCAGCTCATTTAGTTTTACTATCATCATTATTATTTCATTATTTAGTTTCTTATTTCTTATCCGTTGTTCTTGCTTACCTTAGCTTTTTTGTCTTTAGATAGTTCTTCAGTCTATCTTATTATTTGTATATCACCTATTTTTTGATTTCCTAATAACTTCAATGCCACATGCACAATTGTATGGACTATGAAAATGAACACTGAATGTAGTAATGTAATGAATGTGGAACGTATATATCTGCTCAGTAAAAACTGTTGTTAAAAATACAATATATAGAATAAGCCATATGCATCAAAAACATAGCAATACATAAAAATAAGATAAAACAATAAACTCATGATGAATAAAAGGTCAGTCAGAAGGACCACAGGAAGGCAAGGCTATAAAAGTGTGAATGAATTGATAGCCATCCTGATCTCCTCTGAAAGGTTGTTCTAAAGCCCGGCGGCTCTAATGCCAAACACTTTGTCTCCTCTGTTTTTAAATCTGGATTTAGGAGCTATCAGGAGGTACCTCAAGGTCCGCGAAGACACATGGGGATAAAGAGGTCAGCGATAAAGCTGGGGGTCAACACATTCCAAGGTTTAACAGTGATAATTAAAATCTTAAAATCCACCCTGAAACTAACAGACAGCCAGTGAAAAGATGAAAGGATCGGTGTCATGTGCTCGGGTTTTCCTGGCAGCAGTATTTTGGATTAGTCGTAGAGAGTAGACACAGAGTAGCAGCCACTGTGTATATTTAATCCAATTCTATTAATGCTATTCGGCAAAGTCCTAGCATCAGTGTAAAAAATCTATTGCATCCAAAAGCATAAAAATGAAGTGCCCTGTTTAACTAAAGTTATTAACTGAGACACGTTACTGCGAATTAATCACCAGCTATTTACCTCAGAGTACAGAGACATGTTGGAGCCCTGAGCAGTCGAGGAGTTGGTCAGGGCGAAGGTGAGGCTGCACTGGTGCGGCCGTCCTGTCACCGACAAGCGAGACTGCGTGTAAAACAGCTCCTCTCCTGAGTTCACCCTGTGGGATCCTGACCACGACAAAGTCTGAGAGACACACCCAGAGAAAAAACAGCAGCTGAAGATAGGAAATAGGCAACATGTAAATCTGAAAACTTTAGAAATATACGTACATGGTGTATGGTGTGTGTTCAAATAGGAAAGTCTTCAAATCATTCAAAATGCTGTAGCTAGAATTTTAACTAAAAACTGAAATCTGATCATATTACACCAATTTTAGCTTTACTTCTTGGTTCCTGATTGATGTGCTTCTAAAGGACTTGACAGACAAAAGTGTAAAAGAACTCTCAGAACACTGGCTGGGCTCCTTTGTGTCCTCTTCCAGGTCTCCATGGTGGAGAGGGGGTCGTGTGGCTCAGGTAACCTGACTGCACCAGATGGTTTGTTACACAGAATCTTCTTGTTTGACAGGGGTGTTTTCAGAGGGAGGGCCTGGGGTAGCACTGGCCCACACCTGAAATCTAACCAGCCATCCCATGTGCTACCCCATTATTCTTACATCTTCCACTCAACAGTGACTGAATATACTGGTATCATATGAAACTAGAAGACCTAACGTATCCATGTCATGCTAGCATGACAGGAAGGAAGCTAAATAACACTATAAACATACATTTTGGAGATGGAAAAACTGACATGGACATTTTCGAAGGGATCCCTTGACCTCTGACCTCAAGATATCTGAATGAAAATAGGTGCTGTTGCTACCCACAAGTCTCCCCTTTGCAAACATGCCCACTTTATATTAACCCCATGTCCCATCCCAAATTTTTGGGCAAAAATGTGTTAATGTGTTCTTTTTCCTAGGGTATTTGAATATTTCTGCATACTGGTGTCCCTAAACAGTATTAGAATTGCATACATTGGGAATGATTGGAATGTGGAGACACATACTTAATGCAATCCTTGTATCAGTCAGTGCCACCATAGTTAAAAAAGCCTGCAAACACTCCTGTAGCTTGATGATCCTGTGCATCCAGCTGCCTACCAAGATTATGGCTCAGGTCCCACTCTGTGACTCTGGATTCCCATTCTTCACATACATTCCATAATCTTCATGCATCACAATTTGTGTATAAGATGATTTTGTTGGGCTGCTCGGTACACGTGACATCTATTGCATGTCTGTCCGTCCTGTAATGGGGGCTCCTCCTCTGTGGCTCTTCCTGAGATTTCTTTTCTGTTTTTTGGGTTGTGTTTTTTTCCCATATCCAAATCAAGGGTCTCAGGACAGAGGGTGTTGTATGGTGTGCAGATTGTAAAGCCCCCTGAGGACAATTGTGGTTTGTGATTTTGGGATACATAAATAAAATTTGACTTGATTTGACTTGACTTGACAAATATAAGAAATAGATAAGACACTTTCGCCCAGGGACATAAATTCAGAGATAATTTATCACAGTTCAAACAGAGACAGACAGACCATTACTCATTTATACCAACACAGCAGCTGCAATCTCTCCACTTCACCACGAATCTTTCAGTCGAGTCTTTAGATGTGGGAGAAAACTATTAATCATTTGCATGAGAAAGAAAGTAAGAAATGCAGATGTGTGGACTCACAGGTTGTGGGGGGCACAGTCCCAGCAGGACTGTGTGCTCCAAGCGATCCCTGAGGTTGGTCTGGATCTTTGTCAGGATTGTGTGTGAAGGACAGGGTGCTGGAGACACTTTGTCAAGACCGACATTAACCTGAAGGCTGTGCATTCCCCGTGGACCCTTCTAGAAACAGCACAGGAACACAAACTGAGATGTTTTCAACACACCATCCATCTGCAGTCACACAAAGAGATTATAAATCATAGAGGTTTCAGTATGGAGCAGAGTACCTGGTACTTCATGCCCTGCTTGATGCTCTTGTTGTCCCATCTCAGCTCTGCATTTTGTGAGTATGAGTTTCCCTCCTGACCCACTGATACACAACCTTTAACAGAAGACACTACCATCTACACACACACAAACAAATCAAGTACTGAACAACCAAAAAATATTTACTGTACACACAGAGACATCCAGGAGGAGATATAAACATCCACCAACCTGCTGTGTTGAGAACAGAGCACATGCCTGCCCCCTGCTGGAGTTGTTCTGCCACTGTTTGTTCAGGTTGAGGGAGATGTTGACTGGGACTGAGCTGTCCCATGACAGATGGGTCTGCATGCACAATGAATAGATAAATAAATATAAACTAAACTCCACACCAGATATCTGTCCGAATGTGTAAATATGATAAAAATTTTAAATAAAATATGTATGCAGCTTCTACAGTGTGATATAGAAACCTGAAGCCACCAGTGCACAAACACTGAGAATGGACTTTACAGTGAAAAACATTTGAAACAAACACAATTTGCATATTCATAGATTCTGGACAATTTAATGAGGAAAGATTGGAGGCCAAGTTTTTGATGTCGAAATTTTACTTTTTTTAAAACAGAATTAGAGTTACAATTAGTGAAGAATAGAGTTTAAAATGTGTTACAAGAACATGAGCTTTAGTTTTCAGAAATGAGTCAAATGACAAAAAATGGTGAGACACATTTCTGGGTTAAATGACTAGCTAAGATAATATGTACAGTGTTTCAATAGTGTTAAAAGAACAAGTAAAAGTGTGGCAGCTTACTTGGTGGCTGCTGCGTCGTTCTCTCTGAGAACTGTGTGATAGCATCTGAAGGGACATCTGGCTGAGTGTGGAGGAGAAGGGCTGTTTCAGCTCCAGTTTGGTCTCATTCATCTCCTCTGATCGACTCCACGAGCTGAGAGCTCTGACCTTGAGACGAAAAAAAACGTTGTTTGTGACCACAGAAAGCAGAGTAGATATCCAAACAGACGCTCACGTGTTATTTGCCGGAGTAATGAAGCACCAGATTAATTTTAATGAAATGTTCAGTCATAACTGAATCTGACAATTATATATTCAAAAAGACAGAAAGGAGGAGAGAAAACGATGTTTGTATTTTCTAGATCATGAAACACTTTGTACAGTCTGACCTGCTCCAGTCGGCCATGCCTCGTCCAGCCCAGAAAAATACTGTCCAGTCGACCCTTTAAGGAACGTTCCAGTGTCGCCTCCAAACTAGTCAAACGGGGAACGCAGTTGATGTGAACTGCAGTCAAAGACAAGAGAAAAACATCAACCATCTGCAGTCAGTCAAAATCTTAAGTCGTAACTCATTAATAGCTGCATGTTTTCTATTTTTAGCCCTGATGTAGGCTTTCTGTTAGATGTAATGGAAATGGACAAACGTCATCTCCGTGATAGTTGTAATGGATGCAGCATACCCTTCAGGGTCTGGTTCCCCATCTCCAGTGCTGGAGGTGCAGAGTAGAGACCAGACAGGCTGAACTCCTGATTGCCCCACACAGCTCCATGTTGAATTTGGTAAGTCCAGTTTCTGGCCTCATAAACCGTCCTCACTGCGACAGTCCTGGGCAGCGGCTTCAACTACAGAACAAAGACAATTACTGAAACACTGGGGCTGTGGGTTCATCTCGATGTTCATGCTGCGCAAAATACAAAAATGTCTATTAAAGATTAGATTAAAGTGTACTTTTTTTATGCCTGACACGTACATATTATAAAATATATCATCGAAAGTGATGACCATTGCATGCGGTCATCCTTGACACCAATATTAATGCAATATTGCCAATGAAAATGTCTGTGACTTATGCCTGCACATAAATAAAGTCATGTAAATACTACATACAACACATACACTATATTAACAGTAAAGCTATATTTTAGCTCAGAAATACCTGTGGGTATGTGTGTTTGAGCTCTACAGCCTGTCTGTATCCACTCTCTATAGCTACCAGCTCCCCCAGCGCCCACAGCCTTCTCCTGCCTGATAACACCTCCACCAAACCTGCAACACCGGACTGGGACTGGTTAACCTGGAGAGAGGGAAGAGAGATGCAACATGTGTAGTGCTGTAACATCAACAGCATAGCAATTGTAATTGTAATTTATGTCACAACTGATGCAGACATTTTGCTTCATTCTGATCTGAATTTAAATGAGTGTGCCTTTGAGAATATAAACACACCTGAGTGCGGACGTTGAGCTGAGACGGCAGGTAAACCAACATCCTGGGAATATTCTGGACCACCTTCACCATCAGGTCCTTGCTGGACATAAGAATATCTGTCTCTTATGATGTGTGTAAGTTTAATTTTCAGATTGTGGTTATAAACAATGAGGCAGCATTACCTGTGAGGTTTCTGTGTGTGTGTGTGTGTGTGTGTGTGTGTGTGTGTGTGTGTGTGTGTGTGTGTGTGTGTGTGTGTGTGTGTGTGTGTGTGTGTGTTAACTGTACCTATGAGGCAGATGGTGTCCCTGTATGATGAGTGCCAGTGAGGAGCTGAGTTCAGGGTTCACAGCTATGGAGCACCTCAGCTGTGAGTCAGTAAGTCTTCCCCAGGCCTCCACCTACAGCCACAGAGACCGTGAGCACAGAGAGGGAGAGTTGTGGGAATTTTGAGTCTGTGTTATCCTCACCTGTAACGTAGGACTAGTTTGTCTCTGTAGGGTGTGTTTCAGTGTGACTCTGGCCTCCTTGGACCCTCCACGTGCCCCCCAGCCTCCTACATCCCCCACTAGTTGGACTCTCCAGGTGTGGCAGTAAAGGTCTAATGAGGCACTTCGCAGAGGACCTGCAGAGAGGATCAGAGTACAAAGTTACTTAGAAAAGCCTTTTGCATTTTAAAATGAATATTCCCGTTTTACCAAGTGAAATGGAAAATTGAGCTTTAAAAAATGCGAATATACCACTTTGAATCAATTGTTGCTCTCAAATAATTTATAAATTCAAATTGGGACATCTGCTGGTCAGTCTGTGATACTGCACTCGAATGATAGGATTTAAGGGACCAGCATTTCGGACTTAGTGGCATTTAGCAATGTAGTCGCAGATGGCCACTCCCTTGCTTCACCCTCCTCTTTCAAACACAAAGGAGAAGCTACGGTGACCGAGAAAACCCCATAAAAAAACACAAATACCCTCCAGAGCAAGCAAGGGTTTGTCCCTTCTGGGCTACTGTAGAAATATGGCAGACTCCGTGGACTCCATATTAAATGCAGCTGTTAATACAATCTGACCTTTGAACTGAGCAGTCAGGGTAGTGTGTAGACTGGACCGGGTCCCTGTTCGATTAGAGGCTGCTGGTGGAGAGTAGGAGAGCAGCAGGGCCAGACGTCCATCAGCCACACTGACATTCAAGCCAGAGGCGAGCAGCTTGTGTCTGTCCACAGTAAATTCAGCCCTGGACTGAAGCTGGGAAAAGACTCCCTGCATGGAACAGAGGCCCTTGGAGAAGAAAATCACAAGAGAGACATTTGTTTTTGTTCTTCATCCGCTGTTATAAATACCAATTCAGTAAACCAATATAATGTAAAGAACAAAAACATGAATGTATTATGTTACCTCCATATTAAGCGGCAGCCCTCTATCCTGTAGCCAAGACCAGCTGTGCCACATGGTCCCTCTTATCTCTTTGGTCCCTGGGAGACAATTCATCTTAAGTCTCACTCCTGCCTGCTGACCTCCAAACTGGGACTGTAAGATCAAGGCCTTCCCCTCAGCAGAACCAAGCTCTACCTGCACACATCGTCACTGATATCAAACATCTGAGGGACTGTACACCTTCAGTAAGTGTTTTAACTGTTAGTTGTTTATTGGTTAAATCTATTTCAGTTTCTCACCTGGATGCTGTTGTTTGCAGGGAGTCCGAGTTTATTCAGATAGTTCACTCTGTGTCTAAAATGGCTCTTCACTCCGACTGTTTCAGACATCCGTGTCACTGTCATCTCTTGAGTTAGCTGTAAAACATTCAGAATATCAACTGCAGCAGCTGTTTCTATAAAAGTTAGAAAGGAAACATGCACACAGATAAAAATAGATTTCTTCTTTGTGCTTCTGGCTGATTTTCATAATATGTGGTTATAAGTGAATATGCAGGATATTTTCAATTGTCTTGGATACCAAGAAACTGTTTCATAGAGTGCTAATGCTGCCTCCTACCTTTTGATTTCCTGCACTGCTGTGTAATAGGTAATAGTACGAGCCATTGCCATGACTCCCAGAATTCACTGTTACTGCAGCATTAGCAGGGAGACCCAGCTTCTTCAACAGGGGCACAGAGTGGTTTAGATTAAGCGAAGCTTCATTTATATCCTGCAACAACAACAACAACCAGCCCTGAATTATCATGCCACATCCTCAGTCCCTGAAATAGATACATTAAGGCTACATCTTTTTATTACTACCAGTGAAATCGAAATTTAATTGCATTTAAAAGGCAAATAATTAAACATTTTTTAATGTAATAAATGTAAAATCATAATTGTTTTCATGTATATCCGCACCTTGGTTTTCCTAAGAGCCACTGAAGCCTGTAATTCTGTGTCATCTATCGCCATGGAGACCTGAGATTCTGCGAGAGTTGGGGAGACGACCAACAACCCGGAGGACTGCATCCTGTCTGGACTACCCCACTCCTACAAACATGATCAGAAAGTTATTATAGTTTTGATAATCAGTCAGATAATTATGAATGAAATAATAATCAGTGGCAGGTTTGTTTTACCTGAATCGCTGTGCAGTTGTTGTGATACACCAGCGACCCCTGCAGGCCTCTCTGCGACATCACAACGCCACTGGCTCTGACAGTACACTCCTCCATCTGAATGAGGACTTCTGTGTCATAGCGTTGTCTTCCGGCCCTACCGGTTACTCTCAGTCTGCTGTGCTGTGGTAAATGTTTGAGAGCAGGAAGGTTATGACGGAGCTCACCCTCCACACTCAGCTCTGGCCAGGCCCTTGCGTTCAGCCTCAGGAAACCCCTTTTGCCCTCCAGATCGGCGTCCATCAAGGCTGTCCAGATACCCTGAGAGTCCTGCCACACTGAGCCATTTAAATGTGCCTAGAATGGACAGAACACCAATGTCATTATGACCGACAGTAGCAAATAAACAAATAAACACACATCGGTGGATTCGTCAAAGGAATATTGATAAGAATAAAGATAAATAAATACATTTTTGAGGGTGGGTTATACTCGAAGCCAGGGGGATGTTGGAGGTAAATATAACAATACATAGGCTATGTGTAACAACCACACAATTGACTTGTGACTGTAAACATTACATTAACATTGTTAGAGTCTGGTTTTTGGATTACTAACAGAGTTTATCTCAGAAATCCAGTTCAAGGATGCGTTCTGACTTTCTGTCACTTAAAAGACAAAATACAGCTGTACAATCAGCAAAAATTATCAGCATACTGGCCTGATGATTTTCTAAAGATACATCATCCTTCTATGTTTTGTCAAAATCACACCCCCTAGTATGCAGTCTTTATGTTATTAATTACATCAGTACTTGTCCTTACATGTCTAAATGTCTGCAGTGAAAAAGGTCTTTTGTAGTGCCTTCCTTAGGCAATCAATAATGTTCATAATAGTAGCTTAATAGTCTACAAAAATTCCTAATTATTAATTTGATGTCAAAGCTGTAATAATTATCGACAAATATACCTGTAACACTGGGCACTTTGACACCAGAGCCCAGAGCCACTGTGTCCTTCCTTTGGCCTCTATGACTCTATTGGCCCTGATGGAACATGCCCCAGCTTTAATGAACAAGGCCCCAGACTCCTCAGGGCCTCCAGGAGCAGTGGCCTCTACAGAGATCATCTGGGGCACACCTTGGCTCCTCAGCCCAAGGAAGGAGTGTGTGAGGGTCCCAGAGAGATGTGGAGGCCTGCAGGACTGACTCAGCTCCAGCGAGAGGTCCTGGTTTTCTGCCCTCAGAGAAGAGGTCATGGTAAGCTGGCAGGGGATGACTGAGATGCGGCCCTGAAGAGCCAGAGAGACTGGGAGGACTGTTCCCTGTGGCACAGACATACATGGAGGATGTTAATCGCTGTTAGACTCAGATTGCCTACTTGTAATTACTAGTTATCTTATTTTTTACACTCTGCAGCATTTGGGAATAAAGTGTTTGAGCTATTAACACAATTATTCATTTAATTTAATTTAATGTCACAGCATAGATTTTAAAATGTTTATGCTCCCAACTGGTGGAAGGAGAGTTGACTCTGTCTCTCTACACAGTGGAAGCAAGTCAAATAGGGGTGATAGTAATCTAGCCTAGCAGCTGTATCATCTATGTGTTGTTCTGCTCTGCTGCTATGATAAATGAGCTGTAGCTTGACCTTCTAACAGGGTGGAAACTGTATTTCAAAGGAGGCTGTGTTAACATGGAGAGGGGTGAATCATGTAAGAAATTGCAGTTATTCTAACTGTGATGAAAGAAATGACAATGTGTTGCCACAGTGAGAGGTAACAGTAATATTTACAACTTAAACATACTCGTTTGTTCCAGTCTCTACACACAATAGCACACAGAACTGATAGATATTCTTACCTGTAGAGCAGGACAATAGTTGGTCACATTTACAGCGTACAAAGACTGATCCCCCTCTGTTTGTGAAGCCTTGGTTTTCCCCAAATTAGCCATGAAATAACAACGTCCCAGCTCCAGCCCAGCCTTCACACCAGGCAGATGTGCGGTTGAAACATTCAAGATTAATGCTCCGTGGGTAGGAAATCCCAGCATCTGTACTGCTTCTATCGAGTGTTGTACAGATGCTTTCAGACTAAGGTGGGGGTGACAGGTTAAATGCAGACTAAAGTTGCCTTTCTGTTCCCCTTCAGCCTGCAGGGCAGTACTTAGATATGTAGAGCAGCCAGAACGGGCGATGGAGATGTTGGCTGAAGTCTGTGACGGTAGGAGAGACTACAGAGGAAAAATAATGAAAGATTAGAACAGATCTATTCTCCACTCCGTCCAAACAAATGAAGTATAAGTCACCATATAAAGATGTTTTGTCATTTAACAAGCAGACACGTGTACAGGCTAACATATATATATATATATATATATATATATATATATATATATATATATATATTATCATTAATAAACAATCATTAAATGCATTTAACACAAATATACCAAAATACACTAACAAAAAAAGACCATTGCTGACTGTATTGATATTCTGAGCTGACACAGTGAGGAGATCGATCAGCAGAACTAGCAGATAGGAAGCAACTGTGTTCAAATGTCATCTTATCTTTTAGCAGTCCACAGTCATTACTATGTGAAGCTGTACTTAGGCTCAGCAGTGCTTTGAGCTAAATCCTAACTGATCCTAACCGAGCACAAAACAGTAACAGAAGAAACTGATGGCAGTTGTATTATATGTATTAATTTAGCATTTTGACCTGATGAAGAGCTAAGGGCTCGCTAAGGATATTACAATTAATCCCTAGAGAAAGATGTATGGTGGTACCAAAAATCATGGCAACCCACGCAATAGTTATTGGCATGTTTCAGTCTGGACCAAAGTTGTGGACATACCAACAGACAGACCAACATTGCCATCTCTAAAGCCATGCCACTGGTGTAGCTAAAATCCATTATGAGGCTAACCATTTCATTTCAACCATGGTCTTGTTGATACATATTTCATGCAGTAGCTATTGGTGTTATCGATGCAAATTGTACTGTAATGGAAAGACAAGAGTCATCTCTTTTGAAGATGTTTCTTTTGCTTTCCTTCAGTCAGGAAACAAGTTTCCTGACACTGTTTCCTCTCTAACCTTCAGTAAGAAACATCTCTGATGGACAAAAAAAATCCAACTGGTCCTCTTGTCCTCTCCTCCCTTGTGTTGATTTGCCTGGAACAGCATGGAGCACCCATCACTCTCCACCTCCAATTGAGCTTGCCCAGCCGTGGTCGACATGCTAACAGTGAGCTCCCCTGGTACACCAGTGGTGCCCAGGTTTTGCTGAAGAATTCCCTTGAAGGAGGTGGATGGCTCCCAGGCAGCAGTCATGTCAATGTGGGCAGAGCGGGTGTTGAAAGAGACTCGGGCACTTCCAGAGAGGGAGGCATCACTGAGCTGACCTGACCCCTGGAGGTCTACTCTGTTTGGGATGCTGGAGGCAAGAGAGGCCCAGTGATGCTGGAAGGTCCAGCCAACTTCAGCCTTTTGATCCTTTAGCAGTACAGACAAGAGGCACTGAAAGGAGTCGTGCTCATTCTGTAAACCCAACAAACCTTTGAGTCCATCTTTCCCTGCTTGTCCATGTATGGTTAAAGAGGTTTTATGTGGTGCACCCCCCTCAACTCTCCCAACCTGCACCCACACCAACCTGCCCACCCCTTTACATCGGACAGACACCAACAAACTTGAAGTGATTGAGTCCCATGCTACACTCACATCTGCCCAGATGTGACACCAGCTTTCCAACCTCATCCGACCTGTCACCTCCGCCTTGTGTGCAACGCTGCCAGTCCCGAACTCAAGCAGCCCATGCCAGCCATAGAGCCCAGGCCTCTCCAACCTCAATCCCACATTTAAATCCATTATCCAAGGGCCAACAACCAACCCGATCCCTAGGGCCCATCTCTGAGGCCCGGGCCGGAGCAGGAGCCTGAGACTAGATTTATTGGGCAGGCCCAGATATGTCATCAGTAGCACTGATGAATGAGTGAGGTTAGCTCTGAGCTCCTTCTGGCCATTAGGACTGTAACAGCCTTTAGTGTGAGCACTGAGGCTAAAGTGAACGAGTGACAGGCCATAACAGAGCCTGTTGTGTGGTCTATAGGAGCGAAAGACTCGTACCTCCACAGGACGACCTGCCACATTTCCATAGCACTGGGCTGAGAGTCGGTCTGCGGTGCTGTCCCCTGTGCAGTTCATCTGTGAAAACAAAACCCCCTGTTGGCAATGTTTGTTTTTCAAAGAAGAAACCGAAGGAAGAGACGGAAGAGTTTCTGAGGAATTACTGAACTTTAGACATAAAATTCTGTGGCACGCCAACCTGCTAATCTGAGCCCTTACTATGAAACAACACGTTTAATGTTGAAACAGTATTTCTGGTTTATTCTTAATGTTTCATTTGATGCTACTGATCATGCTGTGCTATTATACATGCTGTAATAGCGGATCAACTTCTTAAAAGGAATATTTTGATATTCATGCTCTTTCTCTCTGTGAGTTAGATGAGAAGATTGATAATACTTGTTAAATATGAAGCTACAGCTAGCAGCCAGTTAGCTTAGCTTAGCATAAAGACTGGAAACAAGGGGAAAAGGCTAGCCTGGCTCTGTCCAAAGGGAACAAAATACCAGAACCTCTAAAGCTTGCTAATTTGCTGCATTTCCTAAAATGTCGAACAGTGCCTTTAAGTGGTGTAGGACATGCAGGGTATAAATATTGTTGTTTCAGTTTGAGGATACAACAATGGAAAGTAGGTGTGGTGTCCCTTAATATTTGATATATTCCTCCATTAGGACTTTATTTCAAAAAGCAATATTTGTTATCATAGCTATACTGGTGACACACAGCAGTAATTTTGGTCCTATGGATTAACAGATAAATTAAATAAAGACACAGTAAAAGTCAGTCATAGGCATAAATTTGCAAATGAACGTAAATTATAGAAGATACCTGTACCTGTAAAGAGGTGGGTATCAGTCCTTGCAGCAGCTTCATCTGTTGCCATAGAGACACTGCCAATATAGCTGTGCTGTTTTTTGATCCAATGCTAAAAACAATGTCAACCATTCGCTCATCTTCCATGTGAAGGGTCAAGCCTGTGTCCAGTCCTTCTGTTTCTAACTAAAAGTGGGAAGACAAACCACATAAAAAAATACAGGAAAAGCAAATAGGCCTGTGCATATATACAATACACTGATGCAATTTATGTCCTCAATTAAAATATGAACTTGCTAGAGATAGAAAAATAGATGATAGTCCTGCACCTGGTAATGTGCTTTGGCTTGTATGGAGCTTGATAAGCCTCTTTTCAGCAGGGCTTTGACTTGATGCTGCAGCCTGGAGAAGTACTCCCACCGTGGGATAACCTGGTCTGTCTTGCCCCCATTAAATTCAGCTTTTAGATTCTCGGGTCCCGCCAGCAGGTCCACCAGGACTGACAGTCGACCACCATCCTGGGCCCAACTCACCTGAGCACTACTGTTGACAGGTACACCTGCATCCAGAACACAAAGAGACTGAGAGACCAGGAGAGATTATAATGTATAACATAAAATTATGTAATGTATAAAGTAATGATTACCTGTGGCATTGAGCAGGTGGAAGCAGTGAGATAGTCTGGTGTAGACCTCACCCGTCCCTTGATCCCCGAGTCGGCGGCTCACATTCACACACAAATGCTCCTTCCCCAACCAAACACACAGCCAATCACGAGCCACACTGAATTTATTTCCCATCCTGCCTTCTTCATCTTCTCTGATTGAAGAATCTCCAGGATCCTCCTGATGCCTCAGCTCCACACTGTACAAGGTCTCCATCACTCTGACTCTCACCTGTCCTACAATTACATTAAGTAAAAATGATTCCCAGTACTCTGGATGTCCAAATGCGCCAACATGTAACATTAAATTACTATAATTAGTATTTTCAAAGGAACCTATACCTTCAATGAGTGTGTCAGACTGTCCCAGCGTCCCATCCAACCCCAGGACTGGAGGCAAAATAGCAAGGTTGGCCATTGAGTGCCTCAGGTCCCCGGACATAGCCAGCTGGAGACCCCGGGTGTTTTTTAGAGAACCTTTGACCTGGGCAAGCAAAGCCTCATGCCCCTGTGTATAGGAGCCATGTAGAGACACACTGGATGGAGACAGGAGGTGATTGTCACTGTATATCTGATACCTCTCAGCCATATGTGTTAAAATACAGGTGGATGTACACACCTGTCTGAGGACATGTTGGCAGCCATGTTTACATGCAGCTCAGTGGCAGAAGGCAGCAGGCTCTGGGATATGTTCACCCTCAGTCCCACAGATCTGTCTTCCCTCTGGAGGGAGTGGGACATCTGGGCATCCACCTTCACCCTGTCCTTCCCATCAGCCCTCACATGAACTGAGCTACTTCTTCTGCCAGCCACTGTAGAAATGTCTGCAGTGGCCTTCACCTTAACATGACAAATCAGAAAAATGATAAGATAGCTCAGATGCTAAAAGACAAAGAACTCTATTATTTGTGCCATTTTACAAAATCTATTCTATTTTGGGACCACTGATTGAAATAATTTGACAAAACACAGAAGCAGCACACCTCTAACGTTTTGGGAATCTTTGATTTGAACGGATGGCTGAGAGAGGAATAAAGATTGACTCTGCCTGACGTTCCATTGAGCTGCACAGAAAGCTGAAAAGGAAAAAAAACCTCTTGGCACCACAAATTCATCAGAGATCCTGCTGATTAATCAAGCAATAATTAAAATGCTGAGTTGGTTTAACTCACTTGGCACTCCTGGCGCTCGACTCTCAGTTTCCCTCTGGCCTGATAATCAAAGTCAGTGTTGTTTTTCGGGTTCCAGTATACATTTCCCTCCACTATGGCGGAGGAGGGGAGCTGCAGCTGTAACAGTAATAACAGTGAACTGGTCACATGTTTGGCCTTTTCTACTGTAAACTACACTATACGCTGTTAGAGGTAGACTTGCATCATTTATCACACTGCTGACTGCAAACACTATACATCATACAAATCAGTGTGGAAATATTCAACCAGTTGGCAACTTTACTTTATTTATAATGGTGTTGTCCTGAGTAGAAAGGCTGGTTTACCTCGAGCTGATGGGTGAAGTTGGCTCTAACTTTTATTGCTTGGTGACTCGATTGCAAAGGGTTCAACTGAACTTGTCCGAAAAAGGTCAGTCTCTCCTTGCTACTGACACGTAACTTCCCTTGTATGTCTTTCTGCGTCTGAAAAGGAGTGTGCCATATATACCTACATATACTTATATACACATAACTTCAAGTGAAATTAGCGTTTTAAGCTTCTTGAGTTTTGGAGGCTGGCAGTTTACCTGGTTGCTGGTTATGGTCACACAGATTTCTGAGTCTGACGGCACAGTGTCAGAGCTGAAAGGATGGATCAGTGCAGAACAAACCTAAAAATCAGGAAAGACACACAAATAAAACCTCCCAAATACAGTAATAAACACTGCCTAATTTTCTGTTTAAGTATTATAATAATTTAACCTGCACTAAACTTACAAAAGGGCTTGGCGGTTGGTAGCCGAGGGTGAGGGTGTGGATGACCTCTCTGTTGCTGTGGAAACCAGCTTTTGACTCAAGGATGTAGAGGCCTTTGAGGAGATCGACGGTGAAAGTCTCCCGCAGGAGGAGAGACTGAGGAAAGGTTTGGAAGGGTTGTCTGTGCAATATGGTGTTGCTATTAAAGTAACCATCCAATAATACATTAACAGATTCCTTATAAGTCAATCATATTAATACACAGACCTGAGCTGGAGCATTGCTGTTTTCTGATACATCTTCTTGTCCCTCCTCAGCTCCTCTACGACTCCCTCAAACTCCAGTTCTGTGGACGGACTCTTCGGCTTTGCGAAGGTCATCTTTAGTATCACTTCCCTCTTTTTCAAATTCTTAAAGAAGTTAGTATATAGTCAGAGATTATTAGAAATCAGAAAAACAACTCAAAATGACAATTCAATTCTATAATGTGTTAAAAGCTACATAATCCCTGGGTGTCGCCACCCACCTTATCCACAATGTTCAGGACAGCAGCGAGGCTGACGTTATGCTTGCCATAGGTGGAGGCCATCTGCAGGGTGTGTCTGAGTTTAGAGGCCTCCAGAGAGACGTCTCCTCTGAAAGGTGGAGTCCACAAGGAGCTTAAGGAGGCGGAGGCCTTCACATTTCGCTTCCCCACCACGCTCCACCCTCCTGCCTGGGGAGGGACAGAGGAGTTGTAAATGTAAAAATGTTGTAGTACAATTTCCTAGTTCTTCATTATTTTCTTGATAATCATTAATTCTATGATTTTGCAGACCAAATACTAAAAAACTGACACTTTGGATGCTCCAGTGGAGCAGCCTCTCCTCTCCTTACTTGGATGTAGGTGCCAGCTGGAGTATAGAGCTCCAGACGGGCTTCCTTCTCCCTGCCCCTGTCTCTGTAGAAACCCTCCAGGAGGAGGTTATGGATGGTCAGCCACTTGCTGGCTGTCAGCTCTGAGTTGAGCTGAAGTGTGTGGCGCTGGTGCTGGTTTAATTTGTGGGCAGTGTAGATGTACAGCCACGGTGTGTCCATGTTAAATGTGCCTGGAGGATAACAAGAGAGACACAATGCTGACCAGTCCTTTACTGCAGGTAAAGACTCCAGTGAGAACTTAGTATTGGGCATTAAAAGTTGTTTTACCTTCCCATTTTTTCTGCAGGGCATCTTTAGGAGGGCTTTTCCAGTGTAATCCAGCCATCAGTGGCATCAGGTTGTTGTAGTGGATTTTGAGGTGAGTGCTGCTCTCAGACCCAAGCTGTCTCATGTGAGAATGAAGAAGCTGAGTCCTGTAGTTTAAATTCTTCTCTGGCACCTGGAGACTGAACTGAAAGAACATGAGAGGGAATATTTTATTTTAGTTTTGACAACGAAAAGGCACTGAATGCTTAAAAAAATCTAAATACAAGAATGATCTAACTACAGGCAGTCCATTTATAAATGTCTCTGTGTTGGTTTGGAATAAAAAGCATCTTCATTCTAACAGAATAACAGAAGTAATTAGAGCCAAAGAGACCATCACAGATGCAGGTGTGTTTACCTCCAGTGTGTAGCTTGTGTGATTTTGTGTGGATTGGTTTTTGAAGGACTGGCTCAGAAGAAGTGTGCGTTTGTTGTTGATCTCATCCCAGTGTTTGCCATAGCTCATGTCCAGGGCTGATTTAATGTGGCGGGGGCTTTCTTCGTGCCTCAGGTGGATCTGCAAACACACAGAAAAGAGAAACCACAGAGCTCTTTATCACAGAAAGAACCTCTGCTGTTCAGTTACTTGGTTCACCAAATTAGGAAGAAATGAATCTTAAAAGCTGTAAATCAGCAGCATAAGCATGCATTTATAACAGAACCAAACAACTGAATCTAATAAGTGTCAGATTAAGATTCATATTAACAGCTTGTGTAAATGTAAACAACTGTGTGCGTCACCCTGTGGGTTCATGTCTCCAGTTACCTTGTGGTTGATAGGAGTGGTGTTGGAGCAGTAGAATTCATGGTCTGCTCTCATGATGTATGTGAGGTTAGAATCTGTCTCACTCCTTAGTCTCTGAGATGTGTAGCACTCCTGACGCAGGTGCCGGGCATCACCTGAATAGGTCAGAAGAAACTAATGTTGGTGAAATATTTACACATTCTCCCTAAAGACGAGACACTTGATGGGAAGTGTAAACAGAAGCAGTTCAGCAATTGGAGCTGCATAGTGAAATTCATGTCATGTGACTTGATTAAACTACACTTTCTATGTTTCATACCAAGAAACATAACACCAAAGGAACAAGAAAGACGACAAATTGTATCACAGTGAGTTGCACATGACAGTGAAACTTTACACCTTATGTTTTCACTCACTCACCTCCCAGACCATATTTGAGCCTGAGCGCGGAGCTCCACAGTGAGCCCTTCTGCTCCAGCAGTCCCAGCATCCTGGTGCCGACCACTCCCGGAAACAGGAGCTCTGCCTCCACAGAGTACTGCCTGCTGCTGCCATCGCGCCTGCGCTCCAGGGCCACTAATGTAGGTAATGATGAATGCAGCACATTGTGTTGGATATAAAACTAAGCATTATAAAACTAATGTAATATAATAAATGCACATAATCTGGTTGTGTTGGTTGGATACCTGACAGCGATGCAGTTTCTCTGAACACATTCTTCACAGTGGCAGAGAAGATGGTCTTCCCGCCCCGTCCACGAGTAACATTAGCAGAGAGGATCATGGGATGTCCATTGGCTGCCATTTTGGCTTCAAGGTGATAGCGCATTCTCTGCTCTGACACCAAGGTCTGAGTGTCGACCAAACCCTAAAGATTACAAACTTATTAACATCTTTTATGACTGAATCATTTTAAGATGAAATCTATCCAAAAGAAAATCACGTCACAGATAATCTTAAATCTCACCTTGATATAATAGTGAACACCATCAATCAACAGCTCCAGCTTTCCTGACTTTATATTCCTCTCTTGTTCAAGTTGCCCTGAGGAAACAACACACTTTCAGCATTTAACACGAACATAAGTAGGGTTCTTTCGTTATGGTGTTCCTCTGTGACCGACCTTGTATGTGGATGGTTTTCAGAGGATGGGTGATCCTCAGCAGCAGTCTGTGAGGGTTAAAGGACAGATCCAGAGACATGTCCCTAGGGATGGAAGACTGAGGTGTGGCCAGGAGGAGGTGGATGGAGGCCTCGCTGGGGAACCACGTGTCTCTCTGAAACATATAATAGGCATTTCACATGGGGAAATACTCAGAGCAAAGGCAGAATCCTCTCAGAGGTTTAACCAGATTTTTGTATTGCTCTCTAGATCTTTGTGCACCTGAGCGAGCAGTGAGTAGGCAGCCTCCAGCAGGTAGTATTGGAGGCCTCTGTCCAGCTTCAGCAGCCTGAGGGAGAGGTGGGCTGGTCCTGGAGGGGGAAGTGAAATACCTGCAGCAGGTAATGGATAAGAGGCATTGGAGCACAGCTGCCAGCCGACCATCTTGGACCCTGTGAGGAAGTAGAGATCATTATAATGTGACCATCGCAGAAAGTCAAACAATTACAGCTGGATTTGACTCTTTGAGCAAATCTTTTGATGCAAATTATGTGGTTTTATGCCAGATCAGAGAATAAAACAGAACAACTGTCTTAATCACTCTTAAAATCCAACTATTACACTCACACACAAAAAGGTACAATAGAAATAGTTTCACGTTGGCCAAATATGGACAAATGATGGCCAATAGTGGGCTTAAAATACTGACAGCCAGTATCAGCTCATAATAACAATGCAGCAGAACACATACAGTATACAACACACACACAACAGTATAATTAGATAAATAGCACAAACTGAAAATAAATATGAGCGCACAAGCTGTAAAAAGGCAACATGCTGTAGTATTTTTTAAAAGTTTTTTTTAGATCTCAATCTACAACAAACTGTCCAACAACTGCACACAATGTATGAGGACTTACACGTCTTTGGTGTGCAGGTGGTCTTCTGGACTCGACTCTTTGGGCCCTTTATCTCCTCTCTGTGGTCTCCACTGAGCTGAAACACTCTAGAGCTGGTGAACAAAAAAATTACACACACAAAACATTATTCAAAACACTTTTTAAAACCACAACATTATTAACACAAACTAACAGACACTATGTTTAGTTTATGTATATTGTCACTTATTGTAATTCCAAGATAGTGCAACTTGCTAAACATTATTTTAAAAATGTAGAAACAATAATTGTCAAAGCTTGTGCAAAAATCTGCAAATAATTATTTAATTAAAATCATATCAGTAGTGGCTAAAAGAGAGGCTAAAATGTCCAAAAACACCTCTGTCCAACCTTTTGTTATATAGTTTTACGCCCACATAATACATTTAAACCCTCAGCCATCACCGCTTTAAAACCATCCTTAATAAGTAGAGGATTTTGAATTTCTAAACACACACCTCCACCAATACAGATTATTTTTTGAGGGATGTTTGGAGATGGTTTAATAATTTAAATCCTGATACTTACCTGACAGAGATGATGTCCATGACGTCCTCCGGTGTGTTAAGTGTGACCCTGAGATCCCGCCCCTCCTGCAGCTGAACACTGCCATCCAGACTGCTGGAGCTCCTTAGCTCAGAGACCCAGTCCACTGCAGCCTGCCCCAAAGCACCGTCAACCCCCATTCTGGCAGATAGCCCAACATAGGCACTGAGAACAAAGACACCAGTTACACTCTACTGGGCACAGTTTGTGACCAAATGTCAAAGTTGTAGCCCACTGTTTGATGTGGCAATAGTACTTGGGTTTGATGTATCCAGTCAGGGAGAAGTGAGAAGTATCCCTGTAGTTAATGTTGCCTTTCAGGCGCAGCGAAAGGAGGGAGGTCATGTTGATGCCCAGTTTGACAGGCAAACCAGACAGAGACGGTAAAACCAGCTCCTCTGTCATCAGCACAGCCCTGTGGTTTAGCTCAACCTCGTGACCCTGGTGGACAAAGAGGAAAGATTGAAAACAGGAGCAAGTATGAAGACAAGAGTAGACAAAGTAAGTGACCGGGAGAACAATTTATCTCCAGAGTACCTTGAGCAGTTTGACAGCCAGGCCCGCCACGCTCAGCGACAGCTGGTCGATTTGACTGTAGAGATCTTCACATGTAAACACACTGAGCTCATTGCCAAACACCTTCACACCAACCCAACACTTGGGCCTGTTATCCTCTGTTCGCCTCCTACCAAACAACTTGGAAAGACAAAGCAAAAACATGCGATTATCACTAAATTAAATTACCTTCCCTCAATTCTTTTTCCATGGACAGAAATCTTTAGCTGTAAAAAAGCCTTTTTTACTTGATGATTAGGTTTAATTTTCTATTTTCAGATATATGTCTCTTTTAAAAGTATTTATATTTATTTACATACATGTTTCTGAGTGATTAGTGAACTGTAAATGTACCGAAGCATTTATAAATATTTAACAGCCTCTGAAATTACTACTTACATGTGCTAAACAATCCTAAATGTTTCCCCTTACTTATCATCCTCTTTTGTTATCCTTATCTGTCAATTATTGTATAAAATTCCAGTTATATTTTGTTAGGAAATTATACTGTACATTCTCCAACATTAATCCATCCACAACATTTTCACAGTACTAAAAGTAAAATATAAACACATAATACAAATGTTCTTTACCTTGTATTGTAAATCTTATTATTTCTCTTAATTTATCTCAGAAATTGTTTGTTGCTTAAAATGCTGGTTATCAAGGTTAGAGCTGAAACAATTTGTAGATTTTCCTTGTCTTTTCAACTGAATGGGTTTTTGGACTTCAGACATCAGTTTAGGTTTGGGGAAATCGTGAATGGCATTTTTTTTGGTGCTATTTTCTGATCTTTTATAGGTCAGTTAGTCAATTAATTGAGAAAATAATAGGTACATTAATCAATAGTGAAAATAATTTTTACTATATTGATGTTTTACAAATGCACTTAATCAAGATATTTGTATTGACCAAAAGTCTAAGATCTGAAATGCAATATAAAGGGCTACTAGTCCACCGGTTGTACAACAATACCGGTCTTTGTCTGGTCTAACTGCGTCCCTCAGACTCCAGCCCGGTAGAGATGACTGTCCTAACAATTACAGTGACCTCACCATTGCCCTGGCCTGGTCCAGATAACTGCTTGTGCTTGATAAACACTTTTCTTTTTCTCCTCTATGGCCATCATCTGGTTTTCTTCTTGTCCTCCTGGCCTCTTTGGACTGCACATGTTTGCGACTTTGAGCCACAGACCCTCCATCAGAGTCATGGCTCTGGTGACCGAAAATGTTCTTCAAAAGTGGTTCAGCATTTTCAACGTGTAGGTCCACCTTAGCCGGGACACAAAAGGCATGGATTCAAGATCATTTTGTAAGACTTAAATACACTTTTATGAATAAAAATTAAATGGATATCAAACTCACTTCCAGAAGGTTGTGTGCTCTGCCATGAAAATATACTGTCAGGTTGGCAGTGGCATATCTTGGTAGAAATGATTTAGGAGAGAAAACCAAAGATGTTTCCACATTTGTAATTCCCATGCCTGAAACAAACAAAAAGCAGAAAAGTAATTTCCTTTAAATGCATCATTGCTTTTTATTTAATTATTAATTAACAGTATTAGTAATACTATTTAGTAATCATGGACATTTCTGACATTAATCCTGATTGTTTTTTCACTTAATCTGAAGCTGAAGTAAAGCCATTGTTACCTGATGAAACAGTGTAGTCGGAATAGGAGGAGTATTTCAGAAACTCAGCTTCAAAGTCTCTGCTGATAATATCATCAGGCAGTGACTCCATTAGGGCCTGCTTCATGGGGTCCTCGCTCCTCAGGACATTAGTCAGGTGACTCCACACATAAGAGCCCACTAGAGAAGAAGAGAACAAGGAGATGAACAAGATGTCTTTACCTTTTTCTCCTTTACCATTCATTACATTTATGGTATGAAACCATGAGACAATCTGTATTAATAATCACTATCAATAACTCAAGAAACTTCATCAACCAATTTAACGCTATCAATCAGAAGGAGATATGCCAAATAATGGAGCTCTTACATAACTAAATCTAAATTACAAACACTGCGACGAAGGTGGGTCATATTAGGTTGGATGCCAGTTGGCGGCATTAGCTTGTTGACAAGAATATGGTACTTAAAGGTAACCTCATGAAGTCTTTACGTCCTTCTGTCTGCCTACTGGAGTATTGTTTAGTTGCCACTGAGTTTGAGTTTATTTGATGAATTTAGATATTTTTGTTATATTTTGTTGCTGTTTAACTATTTCACATAAGCAGATAAACCAGAGTTAACGTGTTTCGTCAATGACTTGAGTGTGAAAAAAACAATGTTATGTCATCTGCAAAAATTAAGGGAGAAACCATTTTGACTTGAGTATCTCCTCTACAAACCACAGAGGTTTCAATCAGACCTTGGCTGGAGGTCTCGTTCCTCAGCGTCTTCTTCACCACTTCAAACATGTCCGGATCAGGGCAACGCATGAGCTGCTGGTATGCAGCGATTCTGACCTCAGGATCCTCCTGGGAGGAGCGGTACAGCTGCAACAGCACAGATCTCTGAAGGAAGGAAACGGCTGTCAGTCACTGATGTTAGACTACCACTCACCTCTTCACCTCCACCTCAACTCATCATGAATCAATTACCATGTCATTATGGACGTTATCTTCTGTGATATAAAGACTAGATTAGGTATTAGTTTCAGAATCAACTCACATCAGCTGAGCAGGGAAAGCGTCTGAAGGCTTGAATGGCAGCAACTCTCAGCTCCAGAGCAGTTGAGTGTCCGAGCATGAAGCGGTTTAGCAGAGGAACGAAGGTTGGAGCAGACAGACCAGTGTTTCCCACGGATTTCAGTGCATGAAGAAGCTGTAAGGCAACAAATTATGTGCATATTAGGCATTGTTCATGTAAAATTGTTTCAAAACATCATCACCTAATGTATATCCGAAAGCACCTTAACTTCAGTGGACGGTTCGCCTTCAAAACCCTCCTTCAGGGTTTCCTCAAGAGTCTGTATGAAGGTCTGTATCTGAGGAAGTTCACTGCAGGAGGACCATTGGCACAACTGATAGACCAAAGATGATCCAGCTAACAGTGCCTTGGACCGCATCTCTGGGACCTCCAGTAAGACCTAACACAGACAGCAGAGACACAGTATGTGCTGAGTCTCCAGGCCTATTGTTTCTTAGACAAAAAATTATAAGTAATGATGAGGATGTGTACTGGAGCCACTTATCTTACACATTTCTATATGATATCTATGCTGACATTAATTTGACTTATATAGCTCACAAGTGAATACAGAAAGTAGCGTTACGAGCGGGCCAGAGGTTCCTACATTAATGGAGTTGATGATTTGTGGCGATGGCTGTGGGATGAGGGCTATGGTGGTGAGAAAAGCGTGAGCCTGCTCCTTCTCCAGCTCTTTGGTCCTCATTAGGTCAGTCAGTAGTATGATGCAGTTTTCAGATCCACAGGCTGGTAATGCATCCAACAAAGGCTGCCTGTTCAAACAGTTATTCAACATCAGTATCGACCTGATTATTCACTTCCTTCCCAAGAATATTTTTTATTTATTTTATTTTTTTATTTGAACAGGGACAGTGCACAATAAAAACATTAACCCTGTATATAACAAGGAGAGATGCATTGCACCGGGTTTTAGCAAGTTGCTATTTTCCACCCGTAGTCCCTGGGCAGGTAGATGGAACATACAATAAATTAAAAACAGTAACTAAATTCACAGTTCTGCAAAATTTCAATTACAAAGTTATGAATACACACATTCCCAGATCATTAAAACAATTTTCCCCCCTCCCGCCAACTTTTATAAATAAATATGCCCCCCCCAAATCAAATTCACACACACACACACACACACACACACACACACACACACTCACAAATGTCTACAAGTTTGCTGTGACAGCATCCAACGTTTTGTGTGACATGAAAATGATTTAAAATCCGCACATTTAATCAGCTCTGTTGGAAGTGTGTTCCATTGAATGAGAAGATCTATGCCCATATCTGTATGGTGAAGTTACAGCCAGCAGCCGGTTAGCTTGGCTCAACATAAAGACTGGAAATAGGGTGAAATTGATAGCCTGGCTCTGGCCAAAGGTAATAAAATCTCAAAGATATAAGCTCACTAAATAACATGTTAAAGCTTTGTTTAATTTGTTTAATCGGTACAAATTAGACATTGTGGTTTTATAGGCGGTTATGGACCTGTTTGTTTCTGTTGCAATTTATAACACAAAGTCTTTAGATTACTGTGGAAAGCCATTTTCCCTCCACTTGTATTTTCCACTAGATTTGATGTACCACAAAGACTGCTTAGCAAAAAAGAAATAACAGCAATTAATGAGCTTCAGAGGTGCTGTGAGGTGTGGACAGAGCCAGGCTAGCTGTTTCTCTGTTTTTGTTTCACATGCTACGCTAACTAACTGCTATAGCTATAGCTTCATATTCAGCATTCAGGCATGACAGTGGTTATCAGTCTACTCAAAATATTGTACTACTTCTTTAATGCTGTCATCGTCCCATTTAGTTGCGCACCATGCAATTAACCAGAATGTACAAGCACTTAACTGGAATAAGGCAATTGTTAATAAAGTTATTAGTTACATCTGTCCACTAGGATAAAGGTGTATTTGCTATATTCTGTGGTGAACCAGGACTAAGGACTAAGGAGGGGATCCTGTCCTGCTCTGGCATGTTGTGTCTCAGAGTAGTTTCTGATTAAATTGGCTACTGTCCCACACAGACTCTGCCAGAGGCTGTGTATTTTTCTTATTATAACTCATAAACAAGAGTCCTTTCAGCTCAAATCTAATTACTGGTCGCACAAAGCACAAGATATGTTATTAGCTATAATGCATTAGTGTTGAAATGTGCAACTTAAACAATCACATGGAGACAAAGATGTGGAACTGAAAAGACACTCCTTGAGGAAATACTGACCAGTCATTGCGGCACTTGAAAGACGCTTCTTGCCAAAGTGTCTTGAGTTGAGGGAGAGTCAGATCTCTCAGCTGGAAAGCCAGTTGAAGGAACTCTTGTGATACCTAGGAGCAGATCAAATCCAAACCCATGGTCATTGTGGGTATCGTAAAACAAATGTACTCTCCAGTTTTCCAAAACTACTCCTCAAGCAGAACCAATTGCCTCCTACAGACCTTTTCATCCCATCAATCACCTGATCCCTACACAGTAATTATATCACAGAGTTCGTCAGGGTCTGGGTCTGACAGCCTCTTTTAAACACCTCCCATGTAAACAGACCATGATGAAGGTTGCCAGATTAGTTTTGACTGACCTCCTGCGTATGTGAGACATTAAAATGGCTCATACAGAGCAAAAACTCAGGGGAAATCAAGCCACGACTTGGAAGGTACAGACTACTTAAAAGTGATTCATAATCGTTCCTGAAAAGGACTGCAACACCTGAAATGTGAGGCGGGTAAACTGAAGCATACAATAAGTGTTTTTTGCAGATAAATACAGTTAAAAGCTGACTGGAACCTGTTGAGGCCTACCTGTTGTGGGTCTGAGGTGAGGCTACATAACATCCTGACAGTTTGACTGGCTTGCTGAGGCGTTGACGCTCTGGATTTTCCTGGCCTTGAAGACTCATCGTCCTCAAACTGCAGGTCAGTTAGCACACCAATGCCTAAGGACTCTGCACGAGCATTGAGAACAGGTGTCAGGGTCTATGTCTGCAAAACAGTATAGTTGCTACGGGTAACTAACTGCAGAGTTAAGTGTTAATACTACTCCTGACCAGCGCCTGAAGGAGTCCCTGGCTGGGCTCTGAGCAGGAGCAGGGTAGATAGTGTTTGGGTCTTCACCAGCCCTGCAGTCTTGGACCATGTGGCCATGGAAACGGCTTCTGTACAGTTGACCTCTTGCATCACTGTAGATCCATGCCTCTGAACACAGTGCAGCTCTGACTGCACAGACTAGCAGAAAGACAAGAAACAAACCTCCTATCACATATTCATGTATCAAATGCAACTGAACCAAAGTGCTGATGTAGCCAATACTGATTATAGTGGTCTAAAAAGGAACTCCTCTTATTCAGTGGTGCGGAAATCTCAAGTGGCAAACCGCGTCATCGCCCATTTTCTACTTCCACTTTTCTTGAACTCAGATACCAGAGAGTAGAAGAAATGAATCTAGAAGTGTGAAGTACCACAGGGGCCATAGCTAGGATTTTAGAAGTATTGAGGTCATGCTCTAACAATACAACCCAACATGCCCATTTTGTATTTAATTTCTTGGATTGTTCTATTTATTAAGCAAAATGATGGTTGATGGATGATGGCTTCAAACTTCTACAATTCAGTTGGAGTGTTGAATCATTTATACATATATCTGACCTAAAAGTAGTCTTATTTCAAAACATGGAAATTAGCCAATAACATAACCACCATGTGTATGTACTTAATCGTATATGTAAACTTCCCCCATGCACTACACCCCCCAAATTCCCAGAAAAAACACCCAAAATCCATAGAAAAAGCAAGTGTCCTCAGTGGTAGCCACATTTCCTTACATTTTAAACATTTTAAAGAAAAAGGGAGGTATAAACTCACTGTATCTTCAGTTAAAGATACTGAATGTGGCCAGAAGTTTGCGAGCCTGGACTGTTGGCACTGTTTGAGATCCCTGCTCTTCAGCAGTACAGGTCCTTTCCTCTCATACCTGCTGGTGCACGTCCCATATACATCCGTCTGAGAAAGAGGCATTAAAGAAAAGTCAGATAATTACCCAAAGCAATATATTATGGCAAGGTGATTCAGTTAGTGTTTGTAGCGGGAGTAGAGGTGGTATTTTTCAGACTATGAGAAGTCGCACTTGTCTTGAATTCTTCATAAAGACTGAGGGACTGCTGTATCTACACACCTTGCAAACTGGGCATGTATTACACAGCCCTCATCAACCCTCACCTCCTTTTCTAATCCCTGTTTGGAGGCCGTGCGGGACGTCTGGAGCATGCTCAGTAGAGCCCTTTTAATGTTGAGGGCCCACACCTGCTCCCCCTCCTGGAAACAGAGGGCCGTGACCTTTCCCCCCTGGAGGGAGAACTTGAGGCGCGTTCTCTCCAGTGACTCCCTGGGAAACAAAAACACCAGATGAGCCCCCCGAGACCCGAGAACACAGACATCTGAACAGAGTATCACATTCGTAGGAAAAACAGTTGTAGCATTCCAAAATGATCCGGATTTACACGGAGAATGCTGTAGACCGAGAGACCAGATAGATCCACATGTATGAATACAAAATATATGAGCAGATGAAGGGATAATAAGGCAATTCATTCATTCACTATACTTTATAAAACACACCAAATTGTATGAAATCTACTGTATGTTACCTCAAGCTCTTTAAGCGCTGCACAGAATGTTCCTTCTGAGGGGAAAGACGCTTTATCTGTGGATTCCTAATCTGTTGAACAGAGCATGTGTATAAATCATTTACTCTTTGCAATACTTTATAGAAGCTTTTTTCACAAACACTTGTATTAAAGCTGACCTGCATCATTAGGTGACACTTGGAAACCACATCAATATCAACCACACAGTCCAAAGCCAGTCCATTCCTGCCAGCATTGGAGCCATGAAGGGTTGTGGTAACTGTTGTGCTATACCTGTAAGTATACCTCACCCCTCTCTGATAGGACAAGTCAGATGTAGAAAACCCTACGGACATGAACCATAAGATACATAAGAAAAGGGTTTGTTTCACTGAAACAGAAATGTTGTTCTACAAATATTCTTCTCTAAAAAAAAGTCTCATTATTTAAGTATTTATAATTATATTCAATATAAGCAACAAACTGTATTCTTACCAGCACAACTTGAATCACAGAGATTTGTTTCCGTCTGAAAGCAATCACCTACTGCATAAAAAATCGGGTCAAAAATATCAGATATGACAAAAACTTTTTTCAACTTTTCTTAAAGAAAGCCAAACCTCCATACTTAACACTGAAAGGCATCATCTTGACTCTTAGCCAAGTCAGTGACACACCACAAATAAATACAGCTCAGAACAAAAAGCCATAAAACTCACCATGTATCAGGAGAAAAATTAGTGTAACATGCAGACAATTGAGCAGTAACGAGGACATAGCCATAGCAACCGCGAGTCACTGCAGATCTGGCTGCCTCTAAGCCTCCACATGTATGCAAGATGAAAACCAAGCAGTGTTCACAGCCACTGAATGACCACGCTTGTACGTGGGCTTCCACAGTGACCCATAGTGCTCACAGCAACCAATAAGGAAATACCTTCCAGGCTGGAGCTACAAACATTCACTGAGCCAATCACTTGACACAACACCGGGCCTCTCAAAAAGTTTTCTTACACCCCCCAACTTGGACAGACATAAGAGACATGAGCCACATATGGAGAGAAAATTCAGTTTATTGCAGGAAAGTTAAACAGTTTGAAGGCTGCCAGTCTGGCAGCATAATATCCATATCTGACACATACAGGTTCTCTGCAGGAATATGTGTATTATAAAAGGGTGGACAACATAACAACAACACAGGATAGTATAGAACTACAATAATAACGCCTGTAATAATGACAAATTATAAGTGTGTATGCTACCTCACCAATAAATTAGTGCTGCACAATATGGCAAATATATATATACGTATATATGTTGCAATTTTTGACAGATACTGCAATTAGGATATGATTAACTATCATTGGGAATGATCATTTTTGCATCACCATGTTCATTTTCACAGAAAAAAACTTCTACAATCATGTTGATGTGACAATTGTTGTCTGTCCCAAACAAATATGTTGTCTTTCTTCTAGAGAAGAAGATTTGTGGCTAAGCAGGATGTCTCTGCAGCACTACAGTACTTCATTATAATGCTGTTTACCTTTATCAGAATCAGGTTTATTGCCAAGTAAATTTTCACAGACAAGGAATTTGCCTTGGTACATTGGTGCATAAGAATCACAATCAAGCGTAGACAAATATAAATAAAGATTAAAAAAAGAGACATTAAAAAGGAGCCACTAAATACAAATATAAATAGTGAGAAAATATGTACAACATGGATGGATACTTAAATAAATTAGTAAAGAGCTGCACAGAAATGTGCAAAATAACTGACCTAGAAGTCTGCAAGTTAGCAGTGTGACATAAAATGATATTTGTGCAAGACAAAAAAACAAACAACGGAAGTGCAATAATGTAAAGAATATATATATAGTAGGGTGGGTTTAAGAGTCAGTGGGTGGGTAAAAAAAAGGATATTGCACTTGGCCATATTGCTATTTTTATAATATAAACATTAAATGTGCAGTCCTACAATAAATAGATTTTTTTGGAGATTATCTGAGGATACACACACACACACACAGTGTCAATATGACTATAATCAATAAGCCGCACAACCAGTGTGGACTCTAATCTATTAAAAGCTGATTCATAAAGCTCTGAGGACAAACAACTACAGTTGAAAGAAGTAAGCATGAAAGAAGAGAGACATCTAGTGTCTGTGACTTATGGATAAAAACAGTTGTTAAAATGGAGATTTGGGGAGGGCTCTCTCCGTCCTGTAGAACTATATTTGTCAGAAACGGGAAATAAAAAGCCCTCCACCACTCAGCCACGTTCTTCAGCCTCCGACCGACTGAGCTCAAACCAATTTAGCCAACACGCCTTTCATCCCCATCTCCTTCCCCCATCATTACACAAGCTGCCACCTAATTTCCACGATGCACCCGCCGCCGCGGTCCACGCCCGTGCAGCGACGTCAGTCACTGCGTGCTGCTGGCTGACGCTGCATTCATGACACAGAAAACAATTGTATTTCAGAACCTCCTTCGGGGAAAAAAAAACCGTTAACCCGCTTTCATCCAAACTTTCAGGTCATGAAGAAGTACTAGCAGCTTAGTTTGTTACATTAATTGTGACAATGTGTGCTTTACTGTGCTAAAATACAAAGCAATTATACTGATGATCGATTGTAGTGACAAAGTAAAAGTGCTTTAAAGAAGGATAACGACACAAACACCTCCCAACTCCCTGCTCTAACAAACAGGCCGTGAACGCATCCTGAATAAGGACGAGGGGGCGTAGGTTTGACCGGCTTCTCGGAGGCTCAGACACAATGAACCGTCAGACTGTGAGAGGCACACACGTTGGGCCAGAGGCTTTGGCACGGTTTTAGCACATTATTATCCTCAATTGTGCCTTTTCTCTGATTTACGGAGCCATTTCCAAACTACTGATACACTGTATGGCGGTAACAAGGCTCAGTTGGAAACGGTTGGTTCGTCGAGTTTGATGAAAACGAGGTCGGGATCAGACTGCCGTTAGCCCCTACTGGCGGATTCTTTTCGTTGTTTTTTTGTTTTTTTTCTAAAGCCAACAGAACAAGGCAGATAACAATGTCGTTGACTGCTTCTTCTGATTATTTCGCTGCCGAGTGTCTGGTGTCGATATCCAGCGGTCCTGTCCTGCACAGACCCACCCCGGTCGCCCCCGCCAGCCAGCCGGCCACGGTGGGCCTGCTCCCTGGGGAGCCCGATGGGTCGAGTGAGGACAGGGAAGTGCGGGAGACGCTGAGGCTGGAGGGGGCGAACATGATGGCGGTGGCCGGTATCCTCACCGACCTGCACGGTAAGTTCCGCCCCATGTCGGCCTACTCGGAGAGCAGCAACTCCTCGTGTGGTGGAGAGAGTGGCTACACCACGTTGTCCGACCCGACCACCCCTACCATGACCCCCTCCGCCACCCCGGTGCCCGGACAGCAGCAGCAGCTGAGGGGAGGAGGAGGAGGCGTGGGGGCCCCGCGCTCCCCGGTGAAGCGACACCAGTGCACTTTTGACGGATGCGACAGAGTTTACGGGAAATCGTCCCACCTGAAGGCACACATCCGGACACACACAGGTATGGAGACAACAAAATTCAGCAGTTGAGCTCGTGTCGCTGACATGCACGCCCATACTGTGATTACTATTACACCAGATAAATAAGGGAAGTGCTGAGCTCTTTCCAACTTTATGGGATTTGCTAAAAGCAGCGTGGTGGTGGCAGTTTTATTCCCCATTTACCCCCCGACTTGCTACAATAACGTGGCCAAACAAAGAGGGAAAGACAGGAAAACTCCCCTTCACAGACTCCGACAAAGAAGTAAACTAACAAAAGAACTGGGCTGGACATTAAAACCGGTGACGAAGGTCTTCCTCCGACTGTATTTGCATATGAAATGAACGTAAGACGAAACCTTAAACGTCGAGGGCAACGGGTTCATTGTCGGTCACAGCCTATCCTGTGGATGGCAGCAGCACTTGCTGTTTTAACTGTTGGGTAGTTTTTCTCTGGACATCACCTCCTCATACAGGCGTCTGCTGACGAGTTGAAATCGACTTTACTCCGTGCAGTGTGTTAAACTATTGATAAAACGTTTGCCCACGCCAATAAAGCCTATTTGAGTTGAACTGAAGAGTGGAAGAAGGAGGCGCGTCCGATAATGGCTGCACCACCCATATGTCTGATAATCTACACATTTGTTGCTTTTTGTGCGTTTGCAGAGGAAATCACTTCACAATCCGATTTGTAAATCCCCAACCGTGTATTGACACAATGTACAAGAGCTAGACGTGGCTAGAAACACGCCTACCTATCAGAACTACAGCGGAGCTCTACTACTGAGTTAGTGCAATGTGCATGTGATTTTCTTTTTTTCGCGAAATGAGGGGAATTGGTGTGTTCAGGGTCACTGAGCAGGCGCAAACGGATTAAGGACAGGAAACGGCTCTGTGGTGGGAACGCCCACAAAGAGTAGTGCAACAACAACGTGGCCTGGCTTTGTGATCTTGAAAATGGCACCCAGCATCCTACTCGCTTATCCAGGTTTTACTCATGTTGCCTGGGAGAGATTAAGGCTAGTGGTAGCTTAGGAAGACTAATCTGAAGGATCTAAATCCTAGATATGTTTTGTCACGTATTTAACGATGTAGAGAAGGAATATTGTTCGTCTACTCCATACCTCATAAACGAATTGGGGTTTTTTTGTTTTTGTTGCTATGACAAATTGTAAGCAAATAAAAACCTGTTCTGCCCAATATTGTCAATTTGAAAGCAGATGATTGTATAGAAACATATTTAAACAAACCATCATATCATAAAATGCAGTAATTAAATTGCATCAATGTAGGAAGAACATAGTTTATTAAAGGAAAAAAAAAAAAAAAAAAAAAAAAAAAAAAAAAAATTATAAAAAAAAATTAAAAAAAAAAAAAAAAAAATTTAAAGAATGGAGAAGTGATGTCAATGGGTGACGGGAGTTGTATCTCTGTCTCCTTTCCCAAATGTTAAATACATACTACTGATAGTCATCAGAACAATGCTATGCATGCTTGTAAACCCTGTGTGACTCTAAATGACACAGTTTGTTTAAATGGTAAATGATATGGTGTTAAATGGTCTTCTTCTCTGCCTCCATGCTGCAGGCGAGAGGCCCTTCCCATGCACCTGGCCCGACTGTGAGAAGAAGTTTGCCCGCTCCGATGAGCTCGCCCGCCACACACGCACCCACACAGGGGAAAAACGCTTCCTGTGCCCACTCTGCGATAAGCGCTTCATGCGCAGCGACCACCTGATCAAGCACGCCCGCCGTCATCCTGACTTCCAGCCTTCCATGTTGGGACGCAACAAGGGCATATCCTCCTCTTTCAGCCCAGCCATGCACCATTAGGATGGTTTGGGCTGGCCTGGCAGGAGCACAGAAGGGTCATGGTGGTTTCAAGTTAACCAGCAACAATCAGATCCACTGATTAGGATATAGCATACTCAAATGTGCACATAACACGCACGTACACATGCCAACACACACACAGCTGGATGTGAGTGGGAAGTAGCCTCATCTCTCCATCCACACGGATGAGTCATGTGACCACTATCCACCTGCTCAACATAACTAGGGTTGGGTATAGAGAATGTTCCAAATCTGTAAGAACTGGGGGTTCATTAAGAAATGTGCTTTTCGATTCCATTTTTCGTTTCCTGAAAGCAAAGTTTGGACCTACCACACTTCATTTCCTTTGCCGGTTACACGTGTCGCAAATCACGTGTATAATGTTTACAATATGACGGACCAGAGCTGGCATTCAAAAGTGTGGCTACGCTTTGCTAAAGACAGTTATGATGCAGTGGAATGTAATCACTGCATAGAAATAAATACATGCAAGGGAAGAAAGTCCGTCTAATATGACAACGCATTTACTACAGAATGGTATATAAGAATGCAGCATTTTTGGTGTCCTGTATCATGACATAGTGACCATAAACGGTGAAACCTTTTTATAAATCAAATAACCAGATGGGGATGTCTGTTTTTGGTGAATCCACTGAATTGAATACAGGAAAAATCAAGGTACTTCATCACATTGATGCAAAATTCAAATATGCCATAAAGCTGTCCTGCTTGTTGATTTGCAACATTGCCTAATACGACAATATTATTGGGCTTTAGTGCTTCAGAAAGTAAAATGTAAAACCTTTAAACTTTCACAGGACACAACAGAGAATAATTATATTTGTCTTTTTTCTTTTTTTAAACCAACACAGAAATCACTAAACACGGCGTCATTTAGTACATGTTCATGGCAGCCTCAACTTCATGGAAATAAATGTGTTTTTGCTTTTCTTACTCAGGATTCGATTAGAACGGGAATCATTAAGCAGATTTGAATTTTAAAAAAATCAACCCAACCCTAAAAATAACCTCATTATCTCAAACTGAAACACTTTCACAAAATGCAGGGATTTTTTCACATTTTCTGTAAAATTCTGCACATTCATCATCAGCCAAAACTCCTCTGTTTTCTTGTGGTTAATTTGTAGATTGTTGTTGTGCTTTTCAGTACCATTTATTTACCGTGAGTAGCACAATATTGTGATGTTAGGTAGCGAGGCAGTGACTAGAAGTTTCGTTTTTTTAGCTTTGCTGATTCCATATAAAAGTTTTAGTGGTGACACATTCCTTTTATTTTTATTGCTTTAGTAACCACCATTGATGTGATTGTCAATATTTTTTCTTTTATATTCAATTTAATTATAGATCAAATATGAATTTTTTGCCAGAAAGTGGATCAAACTTCACTGTAGAAGAGCAGTTTCCATGCCATCCTTAAGTCTAGATCAGTTATCATCCATGAATTGCTGACACATAATACACAGTAGTATTATGTCTAATACTGATGCAAATGTATATAAGCTTTAAGCTTTTAATGTAGAAAACTGGTAATGCTACTAGCAGCAGAATTAATACATGTGATGAATTGTAGTCCTTATATTAGGGGTGACAGTATACGCTTGATAGGATGGCATTCCCCCAGAGTGTCGGTGTGTATGTGCTTTTATTTACATTTTTATTAGAGACAGAACTGGGAAGAGTGTGTATGCAATGGTATCAAAATATTTTTTTGGGGGAAAAAAGACAACATAAGTTGAACATGACTTTCAGCCTGCTTCAAAGTAAAAGCATTCACCACACTCATCGGGGTGTGCCAGACAGCAGAAAGCATTTCAGGATCAGGTGTACCAGGTGTTTCTTTACACGGTTTGAGTTTCAGCAGCAGATAAAGAGTCTCACATGTAGCGTTGAAACAAAATTTCTATTTTAACTATTTGAATGTCAATTAAAACTGGCATTAAAACTATTAAAAGTAAATTAAACAGAACCATTTTCCTGGATGGGGGTCAGTCTGCCATCCCGTAAAGCTAATCCCTTTAATGAGGCTTACATTTTCACTTGTCAAAGCAGCAAACGAACAAGTGCAACTAATAAAGTCAATGATGGCTCTATTCTATGTAGGTGTGGCATTGGACCAGCATGCACAATACCAGGGGGCAGGCACTTACGAACAGGATGCAACCATTAATAATGTTGTCAGTTGCATTGTGTTTGACAAGTCGAAATGTCCACTGTGATAAATGGAAAAAAAGATAGTATTTAAGAACCTGCTCAGTACATTTGAGAAAAACTGGCTCCTAAACATTCTTCTATGCCAAAAAGTTCAATAATCCTTGTGTGTTACAGGAATAATCACTCAAAAACTAACTAAACTAACCTTTAACTGAATCAAGCAAACCTCAAGTAATTTAGGTTTAAAATCTATTTGAGTACATACAGTGTCCAGGTCTGATTATAGAGAGTTTGAATCTGTTTTTTTTTTCTTCTTCTATGTTTCCACACTGTTTGTCCAGCTCATGGACATATTCCTTTATCTCAGAGAACAACATTTCTTCAGGAAGATCTGAAAGCCTTAAACTATGTCATAACTACTTTGCACCATGTTTACAGTTTGATCATTGTATAGGTATAAATGCCCTCTTAAGGGGTCATTACAGATACTCATTATGCAATATGGCACTTTTTTCTTGCAGGTGTATTTAGCTGAATAGTGTAATGGCTTGCACTGTTACTAGGCTTCTACAAGCAAGCACTGTGGAACTTTGCTAGTGTGTTGATAGCCAATGGTTTGTAAAACTGCCTTTTTGTCCAAGTGCTTTAGAACGCGTGATGAAAGAACTGGGTAGCTGTTCTTATTTAGGTTTTCTTTTCTGTGTGTGTTTGCTTAGTCATTCAGGCCATCTCTTGTTGTGGAATTTGTGTTTTGTTTTTTGTTTTTTCTTAACGGAAAACGCGCTTTTCATTTGTGTTTCCGGATCTGTTGACTTTGTCTCCTCCACACTAAAATCAAAGCGAAAGATGAAGATGTCTTCCTCATTCATCTGTCAAACCATCTCCATATACCATTTCACTGTTGATCTCATTTTAATGGGAGCTGTACTCATCGGAGTGAATGCAATGCTTTGAAAAAATTTTGTACACACTTTTTCTTCACAGGTTCAATCTGTTGACAGTTTTTGGTTGCTGCTGGCAGTAACCTTGAACACATGGACTGTTTATCACAAGAACACACACAATATACTTGGTTTTTTTTTACACGTTTCAAATGGACATATTCCCTCCTGTCTCTCCTTACAGACGAGTGTCTTCTCACACAGACTCTTTTCGGGTCTCAAAGCTATAATATCACAATAAGAACATACCTCACAGATTTTTTCTTCTTTTTTTTTGCGGTGTCTGTACAAAATCCATCCAACCTGTCTTTCAGAAATTCCTATAAAGTCACTGAGCCTTGGATTTCAGAAATGTGTTTATATCAGCTAGATGGTCTGTTTTGTACCCGTGTCCTTATCTTGTCTTTATATGCAACATCACTACTACCTGTGTGACAGCAGAATTTCTTTTTCCTTGCCTCAATGAATTTCTGTTGTTGATTGACAGTAGCAAATGAACCTACTGGATAAATCCTGCAGCCCTTGTCATTAAAGCCCAGCAGGGATTTTAGTTTCCAACAAGGGGAAGACTCGGGCAGAGGCTTAAAAGGGTTATTAAAATGTAAAGGAAATATCTGTAGACTGTCACTTCACTGCAGATTACAACTGAAAGAGCTCAGTCCAAATCTATTTGTTCATATCACTGAATGTGGCTTGATGACAGACGAGCGTTATCCACTTTGGGTTTAATTTTTGCTGCGCTGCCTCGCTGAGAAAAAAATAATGATGCGATAATTTCTCTTGTCACCACACTAATTCAGATATGCACATTGTACAGAAACTGATGTTTTTTAAATTGATGCCTAATTTTTACATTAATGTAATTTTTAAAAATCCTCTTATCAAAGCTTTAGTTAAGGAGGAACTGTGGAACTAAATAATTGCTGCAACAAGCTGTTTTGATATTTATATTCTCAGGTGTCTTCAATTTTGAGCATTGGAGTTTCAATATTTCCTGTTCAACACCTAAGTACAAGCATGTTTTATTTCTTTTGTTATGCTGATTAATTTATTCCAAAAAATGTATCATTTGTGTGGTTTAATTATTCTTTTCATAACTCATTTTGTGATATGGAACAGTACTAATATTAAATGGTTCCATTGTTTGCTTGACATGAGAATACCAGTGCTTTTTTTAAAAATAAAAATCCTTAAGTTGATTGCTGTGTTCATCTTTTTCTATAAGCACATACAGAAAGGAAACATGCCAGCCTTAATAAGATATCAACAGAAATCAGTTTAGAGCACAAAGTGGTGGAGCTGAATCTCAACTGTAGGTCATAATCCTAAAGAAACTCTTTAAATAATATAAGATAATAAACTTTATTTATACAGAACTTTTAGAAACAAAGTTACAAAGTGCCTTACATGGCTGGAACCAGGATTAAAAAGATTTCAGGAGGCAATAAGGCAAAAATAAAGTCAGAGAATTAAAAAGATATAGAAGTGAGGTTCCATTGATGGTGCCATTGTTGAATGATAGTGACAGTAATGAACTTTAACTGGGGCTGTATCATATAATCCAAGTATCCACTGAGGGTCTCTATTACATGCTAGCTCTGCTCATTTTCCTGACCTGCTACAAAATTGTAATATTGTATTTTTTTATATTTGCATATTGCTGCCAAAAATATGTGTTCAGATTCTTATTACAATGTAAAGTTAGTAATTTGAACAAAATCCATTATATTCTACAAAATATTTTATGTGTATGTATGTCAATGTAATGACACATTTTCTTGCTATTACTATATTTCAAATTTGTTTTTACTAGGAACTTTTCTTGTTATAACAACTTACACTATTTAATTATATCACAAAATGTGTGTAACATGACTTTAGTCCCCCCTCAGAGTTCATCTCTGTTTCCACTGGCAGAGAGAGGGGGCACGCCACCACGAGCAGAGTGAGGAGCCACAGGTCGAAACCCTACATTCTCAGTTTCCCGCTCACGCTTGTGTTTGGTTCCATCTCTGTCCCAGTCTGTGTCCACGGCCTCGTCATCCCAGATGGTAGAGGTCTCTGTGTCGCTGAAGTAGCCGGGCTCGCCGGTGTAGTGTGTAGGAAAGAGCAGCAGAGGCTCGACTGAAAACGCTCTCAGGTCCCTCTGATCAAAATACTGCAAGTACTGGTCTCTGAAGGGAGAGGCAGGTGGAATATAATGACTTCAGACTGAATACAAAACACTGGTATTCAAAGCAAAACATTTCAATATATATCAGTGGTGGATTGTGACTTAGTAGCGTATGTACACATTTGAAGTAGTCTACTTTTAAGTTAGTATTTTGTGTTCATGCTACTTTCTACTCCACTACATTTCAGGGGGAAATATTGTAATTTTTAATCATATACAATCATAACAATTATAGTGCATATAAAATATGATGATACTCAACAGTATATTCAAGTAGAGTTGGAAGCATCAGTCAATTAATCGATAAGTCAGAAAATTATGATAATTGTTGAAGCAATTTTTCATTGCTGGAGTTGGAAGATATGAATCCAGCTTCCCAAATGTGAAGATTTGCTGCTTTTCTTTTTAATTATTTACATGTATTTTGAATTTTGTACAGTTGTTTGGACAAAACAAGCATTGTGAGGTGTTACTTTGGGCTCTGGGTGATTGTAATGTGCATTTTGAATTGTTTTTTTTTGTTGACTTTTTACAAACCAAAGAATTGATTAATGGAGAAAATAATAATCATCAGATTAATCCATAAATCCATATTAATCCAATAGAAAAAAAAATTATAAAATAAAAAACCAATACAAAACAAACATATATATATATATAGCCACAGGAGGGCATTTTCTGCATTAGTACCTTTACTTTAAATACTTTGTACATTTACCAGATTATACTTACATACTTTTACTTAACAAGATTTTATATGCAGGACTTGCAGGAGTAATTAAGTATTTTCACTGTGTGGTACTATTACTTGATTAAAAGACCTGAACACTTCCCCCATCACTGATATGTTCACAGTATAGTGAGACTCACTTGGGGTGCTTGTTGAACATGACAGGTAGGAACTCATCAACAGGCAGCATTTTGTTCAGGGGTTTTGCCTGAAGGAGCTTCTTGGCCCCGTTCAGTGAAAGGACATAACCCAAGGTCCAGTAGGAATAACTCGGGTGCACGAGGTTACTGACTCCCTTCACCCACAACTCTGGCTCCTTTACCTGCAGCCGCTTACGCCCTACATAACTGCATAGGGACAGAAAGGCAAGTGAAAGGTCTGTGGTGCTCAACAGATGAAACCTGAGACAAAAACTGCAATAATTCACTAACATGAGGTCCCATTCGAGTCCCACTCTCTGCACATTTTCCATGATAGTCACCAGCCTGCTGCAAAAGCTAGGCTCAAATCTGACATCATCCTCCAGCACCAGCACCTGCTGCAGTTCCTGCTGCACCACCTTAGGGGGCGACACATAACAGCAATAACAGTGAAACCACCATACTGCCACATCAGCATCAAAGTATTGTTTAAAACAGTCTCAGAGTAAGGCTGTACCTGTTTCCAGACGCTGTAGTGGCTGAGGAAGCAGCCAATCTCCCCTCTAGTCAGCACACGGTCTGAATATGGGTCTTTGTACCCAGGCAGCATGTCTATACCCATAGCCAGCAGCTGAGAGGAGTTCAAGGCTCTGTGGACAACACGAGCAGATATCCTCATAATCACTGTCAGCAATAAGACATTTAATGTTTACTGACAGGGGAGGCCTCATTTCTACTGTCAACTTCTACCTCAACAATACACAAATATTCTGTTTGTGTGTTCTCTAATTGAGACTAGTAATACATCCTTACAATTGATAATATCAGGTGCTTAATGAGAGTTGTAGAGCAAAGTAGCAAAGCACCAGTACTCTGCTTGAGTGTTTCCATTTTAAGCTTCACCACATTAATTCATCACATCAGTCAAATGTACTCTATCTGTCAGTGGTTACTTTGCAGATCAAGATTTTACTTTAAAACATTAGATGTTCTTACAGTTTAAAACGTGATTCATTGTTAGAGAACAAATAGAGCTCTGCAGTTCATTGTTGAGCTTGGAAACAGCAGTTGACAAAACTATATCAACTCAACGTCCACTTTCTTGCTTTTTCTGGAGCCTATATATCACACGGCCCTTTAAACTTTCCATGTCTCTGGTCACCTGACTAGACTAGATAAGCTGCAGATGATGACCGTTCGATGGTCAAAAGCTCTAGAATAGGCAAGTAAATGGTCCTTAAGTTACAATTGCATTGTCTGCTAGTTATAGTTTGCTTCACCTCAACCAGCTATAACACAGATTCATCAGTATTTTTATTATCCATTAATATGACATAAACAACAGTCTGAAAGATGCACTACTTTTACTTTTGATGCTAGATTTGATAATACTTTTATGTAGGTAAAACTTTGACTGCAGGACATTTACTTATAATGGAGTGTTGTTATATTGTGGTAAGACCAGTTTTACTTAATTAAAGCATCTAAATGTTTCTTCCCTCTCACATAATGAGAACTGTTACTGTACAGTATGTCATACTTGCCATCCACGGCTTCTGTCAATGTGGTGTTGATGCCGAGGACGGCCAAAGTGCTCAACATCCTTTCTCGCCGGTCTGAGCGGCGCTTCAGATTAATCAAAAAGATCTAGAAGTGGAGGAGAATAAAGTGACACTTAAACAGCTCTCCATAACTGGATGATATCACTTTAGTTAACTGTATCTTTACCTCATTGAATCCCATCTTTTGTAGTTCTTTAGGCTCAGTGTGCATATACTGTGAGGGCTCCACATCGTAGGCAACTAGAAAGTAAGGTCACACATTCACATTTCACACGAGGTATAGTAAATTAGCATTTTCTAGCCCAGTCCTTTGATTTCAAGGGAATTTCTTACATTGGTTCAACATCTAACTTATGTGAAATGGTTAAATAAGAGAGGCAGAAAGGGAAATGAGAGGCAGTGGGCTTTTACAGAGGAGTGAGACATGTGTCAAGACTGTGAGAGCAAAAAGGACCAAATATGCTCATTCAGGCCAAGGTACAGTGAGAAGAGAAGATAGAGAGCCTTTAAACTGTCAGAGTCAAATATATGCAGAAAGATCTTACTGTGTGCCTCTGTCAGTGTGTGGGTAAAACTCTCCTCTTCTTCCTCCAGTGTCTGGTCTTGTTTAAGGGGCACTGGTAAATATCCATAATGGTCCTTGTTGCACACATACATCTGAACTCCTGCAGTGGTGCAGACACATCAGGTCTCAGTGCAAAAGTCTTCATTATTTGAAATACAGTGGCAGACAGATTTCACCTCTAATGGATACCATATGGTATAAGAAGAAAATAAGTCACACATGTTATAAAGTGATATTATTAGGCTGTTATTAAGGAAAGTGGTAATAAAGTTAATATTTATATGTGCAATAATTATGGGATTACATGCATACGAGTGATGTCTTAATAAGCAAACCTAATGTTACTAAATTGTTTATGATATAGTAACTATTATTTTAATTTAATACTTAAATAAAGATAAAGGTATACTTCAGTAAAGATGTTAATTATTAACTTAAATTAATTAATTTTTGCATTAATTCTTGAATGCCGCACATAAGGATTAACATTTGTGTAATCTCAGTATTTACTGATGTGGATAAAGAGACACTGAAAGTAATAATTTACAACATTCTCACCCTATGAATACCTCCAAAAAGGGACTCTAGATCACTAATATGGGAAGTCATTTAACAGAAATTGTGCTCAATCTTTCAATTGTTTTTTAAAGCTCTTCATGTTGGATTTTTATATCTCAAAAGTGACTCCCAATTATTTCAAACTAGCTTAGTAAAGCTTATATAGCTCTTACTCTTTGAACTTACTTGTGTCAGCTAACTCATGTCCACCAAATGACTATCATCAAATTCAAGGAATTAAGGACATTTATTTATCATTATACAACACACAAGGCTGTATAATGAAATTAAAGTGTGTAGTTCTTTCATGCTACATTATATAAAAAAGAGAATCAAATTCATAGAATATCATTAAAGATAAATAAAATATAATAAACAATATATACAGTTATGTATGTACACTAAGGGAAATGAGTGAGTTGACATAAGGTCTGACCTGCTTGCCTTGCAGAGAAAGCAAAAGCCATGATGTCATCTATATGGTGGGGGTAGTGGGGGTGAGGAGGGTAAAAGGCCAGGGCTCGGCTGGCACTGCGCCTCAGGTCCAGCAGGTAGGTGGAGTACACCATAGGGACTGCAAAGCAGCCCTGCCGCTTCCATTTACGGATGGGAATATACTCTGGGGTTCGTTTGTAGAAGCCCTTTGCACATTAGCAGACCCACAACAATCACTTTCCTGCAGAGGAAATACACTATATTCTTTATTTATCTGTTTTGGTCTCTAATGAATCTTACCTGTGGAGTCACGCCGCACCAGAAGTTGGAATAAAGGCTTTTTGATTCCAACATGGGTGCTACAATTGTCAGATTCTCTGCTATCATGTCTGATAGTATCTGGCGGTTAGTCAGCAAGTTGTCACTGTCCACAAACTGAGGAACAAAGAAGAGATATTATTAGACGACAGAGTGGTGAGATACTTGATTCTTTGTCCTTTATGGTGTTTTGCTGTCTCACCAATATGTAGTCAGTCCACAGTCGTCTGGCAGCTCCGAGTGCTGCCTGCCTTAACTTCATCACATGGATGAACCGGGAGTCAGGCCAGTGTTTGGGACCCTGCTCATCTGCATAAGACCTGAAAGAAAGAGAGAGAAACAGTCAGTAAATCAGAGGATATCAGGGTTTACTATCAATCTATTAAAACTGTGATTAAACAGCATCAGGATGCATTATAAATGGAGCTGCTGCCTCAGAGACATTGTTTAATGTTGTAGTGGGGATTCACCTCGGTTGCTCCATGGGCTTCCACTGCACCGAGTGGTACAGGTGTTGAACTCCTTTCAGCCACTCCTGAAGCATGGCTGTGCTGTTGTCCACACTGTGGTCAGAGGCTGCCCTGAGATCACAATGAACATTACTGTACACTGACCTCATTTTTCTTTTTCTTTCTTTCTTTCTTTCTTTGTTTATTAACACCTTTGTTCATTTTTTTATGGTCATTCTCTAAATCGAATCAGCACATTTTCATTAGAAACTGTCCTTACAGGAAAAAAAAATCTTCTACAAACCAAAACTTAAATATTTTCCTACTTTTCACATACATATCAACAAATTCTTTAATCAAATGATCAATGCAATAATTAAATTTGATTTTACCAGATGACAATACGGTCCTTTGGGTAGTCCAGTCTGTCAATGCATCCCAAGAAGTAAGGGAGGCTGTGTTGTGCATTGCGTGCAAGGATGGTGATCAGCACTGTGGGCTTCAGCAGAGAGGACTCCTGCCGGGCCGGTTGGAGGAGATGATCCGCTGGCAGCTCGTCTGTGCTGCCGTGCAGGAAGAGCTTCCCTGCTAAAATCACAAAATATAATCTGAATCCCACAAATCTAAGAGGCATATTTCCAGCAGGGCACCTTGATGTCTCTGTAGCCTCAGACTGGTGCAAGTGAGGAAGAGACTCTCTCTCTCTCTCTCTCTCTCTCTCTCTCTCTCTCTCCACACACACACACACACACACACACACACACACACACACACACAGGGAGGGAGACAGAGAGAGAGAGACAGATATGAGACAGTCAATAGAACATTTGTCCCTGTCAGTGTTTTGCTATTATATATGATGTTTTTGGTTTACTGCAGCAGTAATGTGTCTGTTGCCTTTTACTGCTGTAGATGTGTATGGTTAAGCTAAATGTTATTACTTTTTACACTGTAGTTTAATCTACAGGAATTTATCAAATCATGCATCTCTGAAAAGTCAACTTTTCATAAACTCAGAAAACTGTTTTTCAGTTTTGTGACAATGCACTTTCCAGCTAATTGAACAGCAGTTTGAATAGTTGATTTAACTTAAGAGGTTAAGAAACACTAAACCCTTCAGTTTATCACAAATGTTCACATCCTAAATCATCAGAATTAGAGATAGTGGTTTTCACTGGACAGAAGGTGTCTGAAAATATGTGATCTGAAATGTAACTAGTAACTAAACCTGTCAGACAAATGTAGTGGAGTAAAAAGTACAGTATTTTCCTCTGAGATAAACGGAAATAGAAGCAGGCCTACCTCAAATTCGTCCTTATTTCCTCATTCACTTCTGCTGAAGAGGTTAAACATTACCATACCATATATTTGTGTGTATATGGTGTTTCTATGCCCTGAGTTGAGTCTGTAAGGCAGCTGCGGTTCTCCAGGCGGCGCGGAAAACAGGAGTGAGTAACATTTTCCACCCGGACGATTTACACTGTAGCACGCTGCCAAAACTTAAAAAGGACCCATGCGGCGAAAGCAGCAGTGTGTCCTGACATTAGTCTGTGGTTAATGATACAGTATTCAGAGTAATTAGAAAGGTTTAATAATTAAAATGTCGTTAGAGTCGGGCGGAGCGGCGCCCCCGAACTGGATCCTTCAGCACCCAGCGGTGAGTCAGAGGACCCGGGCTCTGCATCCACAGGGCTGCTGCTAGATCTTCCAAGAAACCAAGAAACCAATAAACAATGTTGTTTTCTTGTTTTAGTATCAGCAAATGAAGAATCTGGAGGTTGGGGACAGTGAACAGGTACACGGAGCCTTCCTTGCCTATATGGATCTTTCTGAGGGTGAGTTTGACAAGAATTTAGAAGCAGAAGTCAGCACTGTTTGTTTATTTGTTTCTTTCTTTTTTTGTTTGTTTCTTTCTTTGTCTCTTGACAATGGGGTCATCCGACAGGACGATAGTCAGGAATGATTTTTCAATTTCTTTTCACATTTATGTATTAATTAATTGAACTGATCAGTTTGTAAATGTTATCCCAACATTATGATCCATTAAGTTCACATTGTGTTCCTCTGGTTATTCAAACTAATTCCCCAAAACATGACAGGAACTTGGTGTCGGTAAAAGTAGCTCCTGCCCTGCTCAATATAGACCTTATTCACAGCAGCCATTTTGACATGAGATAGTAGGGTAAACACAGGTGTTACTAATGATATGAATTAAGCTTCTGTTCCATTTAGTGTAGCAGAGCCTTTCTGTCAACATGCACAACAGCAGCAGGCTGACCTGAATGGAACCGGACCTTAATCAGTATCATTGGTAACACCTGTATTTACTATTTCATGTCAAAATGGCTGCTGTGAAAAAGGTCTATTGTTAATTTCAAATCCAAATGAGATATCATTTTCGCCATCCATGGAATCAGTGCTCACAGTTCAGGGTTCCCACACATCCTGGAAAACCTGGAACAGCCTTGAAATTTAAAGACTAGTTTTCCAGTCATTGAAACACCTGAAATTTGTTTAAAATGACCAAATATCCTGGAAATAATCTATGTTGCCCTGGACATTTTGGAATATTTTTCAGGCCCTGATTCAGATGGAGGTGTGTATTTTGTTTGAATTCGGTGATATCTACCTATTAATGATCAAATTTACATTTGTTGTAATTGATAAATACATACACAGCCATTGCAATTGTATGTGCAGCAAACACTTTCACTTGCTAAAAGATTTCACTTTCTTCAAAATAAAATAAATTCTACTTGATTTTGAATTGTTACTAACGGGCTGTGGCCAAATTAATGTTACAATTAGAAGCAAACAATGCCACTGGGACCACTGTGGTGAGAAAGGCCAAACGCACCACAAAAGAGTGCTTACGTGGAGTGTCCCATAAACACTGACCACCCACCTCTAATGAACCTGAGATGAACCCTGGGAAATTAAAAAGGGAGGAATAAAAAATGGGTTAAATGTGTCAATACTTGGCCTATTGGTAAATTATATGACTGCTTGTGAAAAAGTGAAGAAAAAGTCCTGGGAAATGGTTTATTAAACAGAGTGGGAACCCTGACAGTTCTGACTCATCAGTGCACATTAATTACATAACCTGTAATCCTCTAATCTGTGTCTAGCACATGGAGAGTAATGTGCAAAAATAGGCCAGCCGGAGGAAAACAATAAACACGTGTTCTAAACAGATGAAGAGTTTATTCAGTGGAGCCACTAGTTAGGCCTTTCTCACTCTCTTACACTGTGTTTCTTGTTCTCCGCAGTGCGTCGCTGGAAAGAAGTGTCCTGTGTCAAGAGTCCTGAGCTGCAGATGGTTTTACTGGAAGGGAGGGAAAAGGAAGGAGGACCCATCCAGACAATTCTTCCGCTGCCTGTTCACCGTTCTCTGAGCCACAAGAGGTCTCAAACTTAGGGCCACCTCCTTCTTTTGATTTAAACGTTTTAACCACCACAAGTTGTCTTTCCCAAATGACCCAAACTGACAGCTTCCTCCTCTCTGATGTGCAGCATACGTCATGTGCTGGACAGAGGCTTTCCCATGCTGCTGTGTGCTGTAGCTTCTGACTCCACCCTGGTCTACCAGAGGATGACTGATGGGTTGGTGACACCCGACCCCCCTGTGGGACCCTTCCAGGATGTGGGACGCCGACAGCATCGGAAGAGACGGCAGCAGCACTGAGCAGCTGGAGTGAGAGGACACTATGGTGTTGTTGTGAACCAAAGATAAGCCTGTCTGTCTGTCTGTCTGTGTAAGCCGCTCCGATAAAAAGTCAAAGGTGTACTGGCAACGTGGCAGCAGGTGCAGATGGATGAAGCCACAGTGCTGTTCGAGGTGCTCTCAGTAAGAAACCTCTGGCTACAATCAACCAGTCTAGGGAGTCTAGTTCACTGGTTCTCAAACTGTTTGGCTACTTATAACCTTTGACCCCTTGTCACTGGTCTGTGGGTCAGCAGGTCAACCAAAGAGTTTTATTTGAATAATTTTCACATGAGCTACGAGTTAAGATTTTGCAGTAATTGGCAACATAAAAAGATATTTTTGTGTATAAATGCATAATTTATTTCCTGCTTTCCGAACCTCCTTTCTGTCTCGTAACCCCTCAGATTGGAGAGTTTAAGAGAAAACACACTGACAGAACACAGGCCTGTTCCCCCAAGCCTGCCAGTCTTTGTTTTATGCTTGCTCATAACAAGGTTGACTAAGTGCTCAGATGTGTAATAAAAAGTATTTTGGGTACATTACTACTAGGGCCTGACTTTTTTTCCCTGATACCTATATTGATATTTGAAAGTTTATAAAAGTGATCATCATGAGATTTCTTTTCATCATAATGACATAACATTAACAAATATTTTTGATAAGGGTCCCTAAAATTGTGACTGTAAATGACTCACATACACTGTTAGTCTGTGCATAATAGGCTAAATGTAAAGTTTGTCTTTAATCCTACATTTGTTTCTTTGCCTTTTTATTTTGTTATTTCCTCAACAGAAAATTATTTTGAAAGAACCCTTGACCGATTTGACAAACATAAATCGGTGTTATTTAAAGGTAAAGGCTCACAGAGATGATCAATAAATAAAGCTAACAGGGAGAATTTACTGTTAGTTACCTCCAGTTGAAAGTGGAAACAAGATATGTTGTGCCAGTGGGATAAACATAACTGTGTATATTCAGGAAGTAAACCATGAAGCTAGAAACTTTTCTGTCGTATACCCAGGGCGAGCAATTCTTGTTGGACTGAAAATCTTTGGGTCCGGTGTCACACTGTAAAAACAACCAACCTGGAACAGCTCTTTTTACTTCAGTCCATGTTTTGGATTTGAAGAGGTTCCAGGTTTTACTGCAGGAGTCAACGCCCTTTTTATTTTCCTGCTTCTATTTACTTTTCTGTTCAGCTCTTACCTTAGTTCAACACACAATTAATGCACCATCATGTAAGGCTGGATGCTTCAGTGACTAATTATGTACTGAGCTGTTTATTTAACAGTTGGAAAATAAACACATCAGTGCTCTCTGGTGGACAAACTGTTAATGGCCACACTGTTTCTAAATGACCTCAGTCATATGTATTTCTCTACTGTAATTTATTGTTTCTGAATGACATAAGCCAGCATTGATAATATCGGCCGGCAGGTGGTTCTGTCGGCTGCACCTCCACTGGTTGTATCAGTGTATTTACAGTAACACAACAGTGTCAGCTGTGTGGATAAGTTACTGAAAACACTTTTTATTTTTCTAGAAAAACAAAAAAAAATCAACATAGAAACTGAACACAACAACATAACACTGGTGAGCAAAATACATAATCATATTGTATGTGATTTTGCCAACCCTGAAGGGTTAACATGGGACAGATACTGAAGCAGGGGACATCAATAACCCTGCTGTGTGAGTGCATGAGTGTCTTTTTAATGGTGCAACAGTGTCTTAATGAGAGGAAGGACCACATGAGACAGAGATTAACACTTCAACCCTGAGCCTTATTCAACATAAATACTCTACATCATAGCAGAAACAGACATGGACAGACAAACACACTGTACTGACCAACGTACTGTAGAAAAGAGGTTCATACTGTGTCTTGGAATGCAGGAAGTTTCCAACGCGTGGCTTTTCAGGGAGGCATTCAACGATGAAATACTCAAAATGATGCAGATAGAGACGTTATTTTCACTTTGAGTCAATGTCCACAAGACTACTGGTTCCATCTGCTGCTGGAAATGTATATTTGCAGCAGTCTGAATGTTTCAAATGTCTACGGGAAGTCTCAGTAACAGCCATGTATATTGGACTTTCAGGACTTACCCAAACAGAAAAATAAAAAAGCAAGTTAAAATCCCAAGATCTCTGTCATCCTGTAATGGCTCCACTAAGGACATAAACTTAAATGTTCTCTCCCTTTGGGAAACCTTGAATATGGATAAATACTGAACCATCGTTCATTTTGGTGGTCGTTTCTCTCTTGGTTGATATATGAGCAGGAACTAAGGTTGTGATCAGGAGGGCAAGAAGGTGCTTGATTCAATCCATTTTTCTCAGGCAAGTACATACAAGGAACAGCCCCCCCCAGGCATGGTAACACATGGTACAGTCCATCTGGAGTGACAGTTCTTTCATACTGAGACTGATGGGTACGTGACCACAGTGCTATGTCATATCTTCCTCCTCTGAGCAGTAGTCCCGGCCCTGTGAACAAAACATAGGGATGTTAAAGGACCCCTGTGTAGGATTTAGTGGCATCTTGCAGATTACAACCCCCTTGCTTTCCCCTCCCCAATCTAGAGCCAGTGTTTGGTTTGTGTGTTCAAGGCTACTGTAGAAACATGGCGGTTCAACATGGAGGCCTCCGTAGAAAAGAACCCGCTCCCTCTGGAGATAAAAAAAAAGGCTCATTGTACGGTAACCAAAACACAACAATTCTTATTTTCAGCTGATTATACACTAATGAAAACATAACTATGAATATTATATTCCAGTTCTGCCTCCTCCTCCGCAAAGCTCAATAAAATTAGTATCACAATAATATTCTGATGTGTTGACCTTTACCAGAGAGAGCACTGATAAACAAAATATTTATTAATATTGGAAAGATATTAATGGAATAATGAAGTTGTCCACTTCTTATGCTTAACATCAGAACTTTAATAAACTATTTTGTTTTGATGAGAAAAAATATGATCATATCATCACAATACTGTAACAATCCACTGTAAGTTGATGGTATTTCTGAAATATCAACCAACCCTACTGGATAAAAACACAGATAAGGCAACATTGTGTTGACATATTTGGAGCACAGGAAGTTTGATTGGATAAAGAGACTCAACAACCTACAACAGTAAATTTTAGTATAAAATAATTGTAGCTCTGATTAATAAACATTATAAAATCTCTCCAAACTGTCAGTGATGAAACACTAAAGTCTAAGACTAATTTCTATTGTGGTCCTTGTTGTAAAGAAAAGATCTTTCTAGACTCATTACATTACACAGATGTTGAACAATCATACAGGGACAAATTCATGGTATAAGAGGCAAATTACTCACCATAAACAGCCTCAAAGAACACAGCAGAGTACAACTACAAGACATTTTAACTGATCTAAATTAACAAATGTGGCTCTGTCAACCTTACCGTTGCTTTCTTCAAGCGTGCACACACACATTCACACACGCATACAGTATATATAACCCAAAACTGAATGCAAAATATTTTCTCCAGGAGCTACTGAAAGGTTTTCTGAGACATGTAGGAAGCTTCAGACACAGACAAAGCAGTAAAGACTGGCAATGACATTTTTTTAACAAATCCCATTGCAAATATTCGTAAAAAAAAAAAAAAAAAAAAAGACTAAACAAGGTTCCCTAACAGCTGGCTACTGTTTAGCAAATGTTCCTAAAGCAGGAGTAAATAGTGCATTTCTTAGGATCTATTTTCAGTGGCGGATAAATACACAGTGAGCAGGGCAGTGAGTGTATGTGTGTGGGACATGTGCTACATCTGTGCTTATGATGGGAAATGTCACCCAGTGCCACAGTGGCTCATATATGTGTTTTTAATAGTTTATAGAGCTTTATGTTACATAGGAATACGCTATATGAGGCTTTATATACACTTATACGTAGAATCAATTCATTCAGTTTGTTATGCCATTTGTTGACAATGACAAAAATACAGAATAATACCAGCCTTATACTTTGACACACATGATGTGACTTAACTGCCCCTTGTGCCATAAAACAATGAAACTCATTCTCCAGTAAACCACTCCTCAGTTTCAAAAGATGGAGTCACACTGCGGCACTGTTAGTAAAACATGTAATAAACAATACTACTTTAAATAACCACGCTAGTGGAATGCACTGGACGTGACAGATTGAGGCTGTTTTGAGGTTTTATTATGTTATCTGCTGTGTCCTCACTCGGCTGGTGATAGGATTAATCTCCATTATGTCATTAAGCAAGAGCTTTTTGTGAAAACATAAAGTGATGCTCCAGTGACAGATTGTCTTTTTCTTACCTTTTCAATTTTCTCATCCAACATCCTGAAGAATTCCTGCTGACTCTCAGAGGAGTGGATGCTCCTGCAAGGACAAAAGATCCAGCAGATTAGAGCCCGGCAGCATAACTTCACACAGTTTTGAACAAAACAGACAAACACACGACTAATGCACAACATATAAATAAAGGTTAATGATATTGTAATAACAACAACAGAATTGTTTCAGTCAGCGGCACTTACAGAATCTTCCCATTTCCGTTTGACCCTGTTTCATCCATGTGTTCAGCTTTACCAAGGAGAGCACTTTTCTCCTGCAGGACATCCAAGCAAACACACACAATCAACCATCTGATCAAAATGTTGTCTTATGTCCCAATATTCAATTAACTAAGAAGTTCTACAGTTGCCTTATATTGTTTTGTAATCGTAAAATTTAATGCAGAGCTGCTTATATTAACAAATTGAAAAAAATGAGTTATCAGAAAATATCTATCTGTAAAAGTACTTCACATAACAAATGTGTCGTGTTAAGACACACTCCATTATCTTCCCGCTTTATTGTGTTAAACTGATTCCTCATGAATATGCAGATAGATGCAGCACGGCGCTGCATGCAAATGTGTCTGAATAAGAAGTTTACATCGTGGCTCATTTTGATTACAAATTGACCATTTTTACAAACAGAAGCCATCATAATATGCAGTAAATGTCCCTTTATAGTCAGAAACTAGAATACAAAGAGAACAATAGAGTCACGCACTGTGCTGTCCTGGCCGTCCACTCCGCCCTCTTCTCCACTGATGTACTTAACTTTCTCCACTCCTTTCATCTTGTACTCATCTGTGACAGAGTGGGAGAAAGAGAGGCAGAGAGGAGCACATCTCCTCCTATTAATACACGACAGCAGACGCTGGCGGCTGGCACGCAGAGGGCGAGCCACTCACAGCCACTCTGATCGGCACAATCCTCCGGGTTAATAGTTCTCACAGTTCAGTACTTGGCAAAGTAATTATGTGCTTGAATTCTCACACTGGACTAAATCCTCTCTTAACAATGGTTGGCAAGCGGCAAACACATGAGCTGTCAGCCTGATTCTCCTCTTTTCTCTGCCTCTCCATCTTTTCTCTCACACATTCACAGCCCCCTCCCCTGTCTCACTCCCACACATTTAGAAAGGAGGAAAATACAGTTCTAACACATCTAATGCTGCCCAAGATATTATTAGTGTAGGTTCACTTTATTATTCATCTGTAGCGGTTTTAACAACTATAACAATAATTAAATTAAGTGAAATAAAGATTAGCCTGCATTTGTGCTGTCAGGAACCTGCGATGTCTTACAGATGATGGTATCACCATGTACAGGTGTAACGGTTTGTGTAATAAAGCATGTATTTAGGGTTCAGTTAGGACCTGACAGTTTGTCAGTTAACAACTGTTAGTCCATCCCAGCACTTTTAATCGCTGCTAACCATTTTCCAAAGCAAATTAAGGTTTAATTTATACAGTGTATTATTATCATCACAACTATTATTATTTTAAGCACAACGTTTCTGCCTCATTTGACCTTCAGTTAAAGGTCCAGTCGGTAGGATTTATGAAGGAGAAACTACAGTGGCTGCAAAATGGCTCTAGATAAGGCAGATTGCATTTTTCAGGCCAGTGCTTTGTTTGTCCGTTCTGGGCTACTGTAAACACATGATGATTCAACATGGCAAACTCAATGGAAAGTGACCCACGGCGTCTGTAAATATTATAGTTTATCATTCTAAGGAAACACAAAAACACACACCTATATTCAGGTTATTATTATATTATATTATTAACTAATTAAAACATATTCATGCGTGATATATTCCATTTCTGACAATAGATCTTCTTAAATGTTACACACTGGACCTTTATTATGAGAACTGTGAAAACTTATAATAACTTATAATACTCATATGGCAGAGCAGTTTTTTTTACATCCCAACAACACTGACTAATGATTGCTCATAGCAGATATTTGTGCTTTTTTGGTTCTTCTTTTCTTTACAACACAAAAATGTTGCTGTTAAAGAAATATAACATATATGCTGTATTTTGATATAAATGTATTTATAAAGAGAGCTGAAATTATTTAAGTTGAATAATCAAATAAAATCAACAGAAAATTAAACAGCAACAATTGTGATCAGTGAAATTAAATGCCAAATAATTACTGGTTCTACCTCTGTTACTGTGAGAATTGTTAGTTGTGAGCACTAATTAGAGACAATCCCAGCACTACAGACCTTTTTTGCAGCAGCCATTTTGACGTGACTTGATACAAATTAAGATTTTGTTTAATTCAGGTCAAACAGAGTCAGTGTGCTGCTATTGTGCATGTTTGCTCCCTGGAAAGGCTATGCTACACTAAATGGAACAGAGCCTGTGTGTCAAAATTCTTGATTATTATTTATTTTGAATACCCACATTAACGTCAATGTGAGCTATTATTTAAAAATCCAGGCATGGCCTTCAGGAACGAATCACATTGATGAGTTGTGGCAAAAACCTCACATTTTAGAATATAAAGGAAGATAAACATCATCTGAACACAAAGGTACATGGGAAATAAGAGTATCAGTGTGTTCAGTAAACAGACTGACCAGACAGGAGGTCCCCATTGCTGTAGGCTTTATTCTGGCCCTCCTCACCGTTGGGCACGGCAGACACCTGCTTGGCAGAGGTGCAGCCCATCTCCTCCTCCTCAGCTGCTCTCCTCCTCACCCCTGAGCATTACAGGCACACCTGGGGGCCGGTATGATGGTTAGATATGTGTAGATATCAGGAGTTGACAAACTTATACTGTGAGCAAGCAGAAAGATCACAGTCAGGCAATCTGATAAATGTTTTGTCCCTGGGGAAATCATCTGAGGAGCATCTGTCCTTATGATAGAGCTCCAGAGCGGAGGAGAGTGTGGTCCTTGTAATTACTACAAACCAAAAGGGATACACTCTGAGAGGAAAGAAAATAAGACATTTATCAGGGGAAGAAATCCCCTGAACTCTAGGAATTACTATTTTTTTAATAATCAATTAGTCATGAAGCGCCCCACCCTAGAATTAAAGCACACGGGCATCCCAATATATTATTGAAAAGACAATAAAATATATGGTTGAGCCGGGCTGTGAGTCACGCACACGCCGGACTGGGAAAACACCAATCAGAACGTGCGCGCGGCGGTGCCAGCTGCCCCGCAACAATAAGGCCTTTCAAGCTGTTCATGATGCCACTGTGCCAAGCCGCCGGGTCATTTCTATTAGTGAATGGGGGTTTTCTGTGCAGCTCAGGGGATTAAACTGTAGCTGCGTACAAGTGCTCCCGTCTCCGCCGTTACATCGGCATGCAGCACTCCCGGCAATATGGCTAACATAACTGTGCATCAGACCGAATGACCTGGTAGCGTTTGGCATTGTGCTCAGGAGGATGCGGAGGGATTGATCCCCATAGGGTATGGATGAGCCTAAACACTGACCGCACAGCTGCACAGTCAGCTGTTCCGCACACATCATGTTCTCCTCCTCACTGCTGGCTTTCATTCGTGCATTTGTGTAGAGACAGGCTGCAGCCCATAAACGGTGCATCACTGGGCTCTTCCATACATTGTCAGTAGGAGAGCGCATAGGTGAGAGGGAAACGCAATCCCAGTTAAAGCTGCAAAAATATCCACAATCGTCTCATTTCACACCATCGCAGAGACACACAAGGACCAGGGCTGCTTAAACAAATAAAAACAAAAGAAGATGCGAAGAGAGCAGCCATTCCACGGCCAGCAGGAGACACGATATCACATATAGGGAAACAAATAAGCAAACAATAGATTGCAGAATAAACGTACGGCGATGGGGCAACGTTACCTTTCTGCTTTGTCCATGGTTTTTTTGGGGGGTCCTTCCTCTGGTTTCAGTTCAGAGAGGATTCACTCCAGACGGAGGACCCAGACACACCGCATCTGCACCTCTCGGCTCAATACAGGCATCAGCAGTCGAGATGCAGTCAGTCCGTCTGCCAGCTGTCTGGTCGGACTGCTGGAGCTCATGGCCCGATACACTCTGTTAAAGTGAGAAAATAAACAAGCGAGTCAATCAACAGATTCTTTTTTTTCTCCAGAAATTACAGTTGTGTTCGGCACAAAGCACACTTCATTCCGCAGACAGTCTCCGGAGCGTCCTACCTCTTTATGCGATGGAAATTTGACTACGAAGTTGCAATTTCATCAGTGTCCAGTCGGGCCTCATTCCCCGGCGCACCATGAACTTCCGGCCAGCGCATTCCCTCTGCATCATCAAAGTTGACAGCAAACACTTAGAAAGTTTCTGAAGTTCACAGTCTCCGGTAAACCGACAGTGGACGTCCATTACAATGACTTCTCTGACGATGATCGCCCGTGTGGCGGACGGACTGCCGCTCGCTGCGTCCATTCAGGAGGATGAACAGGTATGAATGAGAGCTAGCTTCCTCTGTAGCCTCTGTGTGTTTGAACTGTACACCAACAAACAACAATAACAAGATTAATGACTTTATTGGGACATTGAGAAACGTGTTATACAACTATATAATCCACGAAGCAGCAGTTTAATTTTATTATTTAAACTAAAACTTCTTATGTTTAATGTCGCGTTACGTTAACAATAAGACACAATAACATACTGGTACTTGTGTGTACATTATTTTACTGAAACGAGTTGTGAGAATAAAAGAAGAACATATTAAAAAGTTAAATATGAAACAAGTAGTTTATTTTTTACAGACGAAACGTTTGTAAGAAGGTTTCAGGTGTTACATCGTATTTGGTGACCCGTCGGATTCTGTGACCTGCAGTGTGAGAAGAAGTATCGGTACCATAATACAGAAATACTTCATTTCATCCTACATTTTAAAACTACTTAAGTAAAGTTATGTTAGTATTATCAGATAATATATTTACTTAAAAGTTCAAATTTTACATAAAATCCGTCTATTACTATTAAATAAACTATAAAAACAAAGTACATTACTGATGATGATGCGCAAGCAGCATTTTAGTAAGTCAAAGCCCGATTTAATGCAAAATTACTTTAAGTAAATTAGCTGGTAGTACTTATATACTTTTACTTAAATGCAGGATTTTTACTTGTATTTGAGTATCTTTACATTGTCGTGTTCATACTTTTACTCTGAATACTGAGATGTGAGTATTTCTTTCAACACCACAGGTCACAGAATCTGATGGGTCACCAAATACAGTGTAACATTTAACACTGTATAAATAAACAATAAATGTAACATTAGCTCCTTCTTCCAGAAAGCAATCATTTTACATTCAGCTGTCAAGTTTTTAATCTTTGGCCAAAAAATATTATATAGTCTTCTGACCATTTGAGTCATTTTTTTTATCTGAGTGTTGCAACTTTACATATGGCTGTTTCTGCTTATCTTTGTCAGTCAGGAAGAGACCTCCAGCACTACCAGAGTCAGGCCAAGCAGCTGTGCCGTAAACTGAATGCGCAGAGTCCGGACCGCTGTACCCTGGAGGCCGGGGACATGAACTTTCAGTAAGTTACAGGCATCAGAGTGTATATTCTCAAAGGGGAAACCCAGACTAAAACCTAATTCACCTCACTTCTGTAATATTATATAAATATACAGGTGACGTTTAGGTTGAAACATATCTCACCAGGCATCAGTGTCATGAATTAACCATTGATCTGGACTGAATGTTTCTTGTTTTCAGCTATATAATAGCACAGGGTGTATGCTACCTGTTCCTCTGTGAGGCTTCATTTCCCAAAAAGATGGCTTTTGCATACCTTGAAGACATCCACAGTGAGTTCTATGACCAGTATGGAAGAAGGGTGCCCACAGTAACGAGGCCGTACTCCTTCATCGAGTTTGGTAAGACTATTTCTGATCAAGTATATTCAAGAAACATTGTTTCGCTCTCTGCAGAAAGAACAAAATCCTCGACTAAACATATACATACATTGTTCCAGACACATACATCCAGAAAACAAAGAAGTCATACGTTGACAGCAGGGCCAGGAGGAACCTGGGCAGTATTAACACAGAGCTACAGGATGTCCAGAGAATTATGGTGGCAAATATTGAGGAAGTTCTGCAAAGAGGAGAAGCTCTTTCTGGTAAGTACAATAAGAAAAACAGCCTGGGTACCTGCACAAAGCATAAAGGACAAAATACCAAGAACAGTTAAAATTCATACTACTGCCTTTGTGAATATGGATTTTCTATTCAGTGTCAGTGTGTTAATTTGACTTACAGTAAATGTTGTGGGCAGTTTGTGGTGATGTTTTGGATTACATGATATTGTAAGGCATTCTTGTTTAGTTTGTAAATCTTCTCAAAGCTAAATGTACATTTATTGTTAAGAGCATTTCCATTTCAGCTTGATATGTATATTTTCCTCAGCTCTAGATACGAAAGCCAGCAATCTGTCCAGCCTGTCTAAGAAGTACCGCAGCGACGCCAAATACCTCAACACCCGTTCTGCGTATGCCAAGGTGGCTGCTGTGGCGGTGTTCTTCATCACACTCATCATCTATTTGCGTTTCTGGTGGCTCTGATAGACTCTCAAACAAGGACTTTGACATAAGGGAGAAGATGTTTCTAAGCATTTAAACTAATCCTGTTACATTTCTGTTGGACACCAGGGTGCCTTAAAAGGGTCATATACACTCTATCCCTACTGAAGGTACAAGTTCTTTCTGTGCTTTATCCAGCTTTGAGTTATGCTACATACACAGTATAAACTGAGCCATAGGTCTGCGGTGGGACTTCTCTTTGTATAAAAGCAAATACTTCATGGTGAGTTCGTGGTCCTCTGTTAACTGGAATATTAAGAACAGGGTTTTGATGAAGGAATGTTTACAATGTTACACACTGGCTTTAGGGGTTTCTGTCAGAGTTTCAGCATTAAGGAGAAAACATTTATGCATAAGCAGAGGGTTTGTAAAAAGTCTTAATACTGTGATAAAAGAATGTTTATTGTTCAAAGTTTACATTGTAACAAGTCTTACTGAAAAAAAATTAAATATTTATCAAATTGTAAGTTTCTATCTTACAGCTGCATTCATGACAAGTTGTGTTAATATGAACAGAGAGTGACAGTCCTTTTATGGTACACACACACACACACACACACGTATAAACCAGCATTTCCATGGTCACATACATACTAACCCTGTGAAACCAGCTGAGGTTCACCCAAAGAACACATAATGCAGAGTCACAACTGGAAGCTGTTCTGTACAACCAGTGTGATGGTGGAGTGGCTCTGCTGGTAAAATGAGGAGGAAACAACTGAGTGTCTGGTGGCTGAGCAGGTTTAAAGTAAAGAGTCAAATGGTGACACTGATTGGCACAACAATGAGCCACCTGACCCCCAGAATCAGATTTATTCTGGTTGATCATCAGATTTTATGCATCAGAAGACAGGTGTTCTGTGAATCATGTTAAGTTTGGAAGAGCGCTCCTTCTGTCCTTGCGCAGATAAAACTTGTTGAGATGAAAGCATCTCATAATTTCCAAGTTGATATGTGATTCAAGCTGTTGACTCCTGGCCAGTAGAGTTATTCACTCCACAGTTACAGGAGCAGAGTTCTTGTCCATTTCCTGTCCCCGAGGGTGATTGCATGAATGTTGTGCAACAGACTTATGACACCAGATCAAAGTCATCCCTCTGTAATAGAAACATAGTGGTCAGTTGCATAACATCAGCATTATGCTTCAGTCCAGAAAATGATCAATCACACTTGATTCAAACACCAGATGGTCATTGCTTTGAGACTAAACAATGACATCATTTTTACTACAGCGACTGTAGGATGAAATATTTGAGCAGAACCTGCAAACTGACTCACCTCATCATTATAATTCATGACATGCTGCTTGATCTTGGAGGAGTCCACCCAAGTGACGAAATCTTCCATATTTCTGAAAAAGTAAAGTTTGATCACTTGAGACGCTTGTGCACATGTATCTGTACCATGAACTTGTTCTGTTTGTGCTGAATGGACAGTTTGCATAAAGTGATGCAGAACAAATTATGAGAAGACAAAACAACACGTGGACACTGACCTTGTGACTAGAAACGCCGGGTCTGTGACGATGTCTGGGCCAACACGCACATCTGAGACCGAGTCAAGGACAATACTGCAAAACTATTTCTACTCTAGACAAAACTAACTCAAGAGAAATTCAAGATATAAAACTTCACTCCCCCCAAAAAGATACTGTGTACTGTGAACAAGGAGAATACACATTACAATATAAGACATTTTGTGGGCATCATCTCTTGCAGTAATGAAGGATACGTCCTTGTTCGATGAAAGTGATGGCTGTCTTCAGGTTCTGAGCCATACGAAGGTTCAACATGATGCTGGGCAGCCTCCTCCTGCAGGAGTCACACAGGTGAGTGATATATGGTCGCAACCAAGGCATCAATTGGGGTACAACGTGTTTTGTGGGAGGATTTACCTGCAGAATGACGAAGCTGTGACTTTCTCTGTGAGGGACAGATTCTGTTTGGTGGGGAGGAGACCGATACTGTACCTTATGTGAAGAAACAATAAAAGGATCAGTGTGATATTGTGACTTTAAAACAGATCAAGACTGTAAAATACAAACAGATACCACAGTATGTCCGTACAGGAGTCTGTACCATGAGCTCAGCTTAGTCCGGCTCTCTTTGGGTTACCTGGCCTCACAGAGCCATAACCGCTATCACAAAGCTGGTTTCCCATCCAGCTATGAGCACGTTCATGTTAAAGATAACAATTAATTACAAATAACGTCATTAGAACCATGAGTGAAGTACTTAATATGACAGGAGATGAAACGAGATTCACACAAGGTAATTTGGTTATAGGTGAAATGTCTTAAATATAATCACATAACTAAATAGAATAAGAGGCTGTAGAAACACTAAAAGTAAGGCAACATATATGTGCAGGAGTTTGTGCTCTTTTTGTCTGATGATGAACAAACTAGTGTGAATATGTGATGGAAATGTGAGTTAAAAGTAATTGAAGCTAACATCTGATAAGGTCTATCTCAGTGGTCCCTAACCTGGGGGTCGCCAAAGCTTCATGGGGGGGTTGCCAGGCCTTCTTGATTTTAAGGGGTATAAGAAAATTTAAAAAATATACACAGCAGGCCTATATCTCAGCATTTCTGTAAGGAAAAAAATTGTCTGATAGAACAATGGCCAAGGGTTAGGGACACGAAAACACTGAATTTGTCCAAAAAGGAGCCTCTGTATAATTGTTGTGTATGTCACTTAAGCAGTGGTCGTCAGTTTACTAAATGATTGAAAATGGTCCCTTAAGGAAACAGGTTGGGAACCACTGCTCTATATGACCAAATGAATAACCTTCTGATTATTATTTTCCTAATAAAAGTCAATGGAGGGTATAGTTTTTATTTCCAATGATCATCACAAAGTCAACTGATGTTATTCTGAGCTGCAGAGATGGAATAAGACAGATACCCCAAACAGAGCTGGATAATCTCACTTGTGGTACAGGTCGAACTGTAAATGCTATCAAACAATATCACACAGAGAGACTCACAGTTTTTCGAGGAGTCGATGTGAGCTCTGAGCTCTGAAGCCATCTTTCTCATCCAGGTCTCTGATTTTCTGGGCCAGATCTCTGATGTTTCGACTCAGCTTGTTGTACCTGACACACACAGGAGAGAGAAACACTACTGTTATTATACGTCTATAACCAATACTCCAATACCAGTACTCAATATTCTGGGTATGAGTATTGTTGCTCTTATAGAACATATGAAAGGCTGGTTTACACAAATTACACATTATACAGGTTTCAACAGTCTGTATAATCTCTAATATCTGGTATTTAGTCGTAGTGTAGCTAACAGTATGGAATAAACGGAGACATATTTTTGTTGTGAGTTTCAACGTAACTACTACTCTGGATGTAAACATCTGCGTCGTAAACAGTTTTTGATTCAGACCTACAAATCGTAACCTAGCCATATGATTCATGTTGAAGGAGTATCTTAAACACAGCAGGGCAGTCAGTGGTAGCAGGGCAGTTAGGGGTAGCAGGGCAGGGCAGTCAGTGGTAGCAGGGCAGGGCAGTCAGTGGTAGCAGGGCAGTGAGGGGTAGCAGGGCAGTCAGTGGTAGCAGGGCAGTCAGTGGTAGCAGGGCAGTCAGTGGTAGCAGGGCAGGGCAGTCAGTGGTAGCAGGGCAGGGCAGTCAGTGGTAGCAGGGCAGTGAGGGGTAGCAGGGCAGTCAGTGGTAGCAGGGCAGTCAGTGGTAGCAGGGCAGGGCAGTGAGTGGTAGCAGGGCAGTCAGGGGTAGCAGGGCAGGTGCAGGGCAGTAGGGTAGCAGGGCAGTGGTGGTAGCAGGGCAGTCAGTGGTGGTAGCAGGGCAGTCAGTGGTGGTAGCAGGGCAGTCAGTTGGTGGTAGCAGGGCAGTCAGTGGTAGCAGGGCAGGGCAGTTAGTGGTAGCAGGGCAGTCAGTGGGGGTAGCAGGGCAGTTAGTGGTAGCAGGGCAGTCTGGGGTAGCAGGGCAGTCAGTGGTAGCAGGGCAGTCTGGGGTAGCAGGGCAGTTAGTGGTAGCAGCGCCATGGTGCTTACTTGGTGTAGTCCTCCCTCTTCTCGATGCGAAACCTCCGCAGCACTTTGACCTCGTGCAGGTTGTTGTCCACCTCCCAGTTAATGAAGTCCACCTTCTTCAGCAGCTTCTGCTCGTGGTGCTTTAATTTACGAACCATTTTTAAAACCTTTCACTAACTAACTCTGAATTATTTACGAGGCAGACTCGTTCCCATGCGAGGATGAAGAGGGGAACACAGGAAACACGTGTTCTTCTTCTTCGGTGATAAATTCAGGTCGAACGTGAGGTCAACTCGAGCTACAGCGACACCTACCGCGTGTCAACGTTAAACATCACTGCCCCCTCATAAACCTCTTTGTCACATTAAAACATTGTATCTGCAGTTTGTACAAGTCTCACAATACCTAAAAATACGAAAATTCAATAAAGAAAAACTTAGATTAATAAGTAAAAAGTAAAAAAGGAGAAATGATTCTATATAAATTAATTTCTAAATTATAATCTTAATCTCTTAATCCTAATAAAGGGCTTTTATGTCTCTAAAGTCATTATCAGTGTTTCCAATTTAATTCACAGTATTTTAAAAATGTATTTCTCACTACTTTATTTAGAACAAATAGGTTCAAAGCGGCAGGTAACTTTTATTCAGATCAAGCAGAAGATGGAGCCTGTACATTTAGATTTGTGGATGTGAATGATCTGCAGCATAAACCACAAAGAAATCTCTCAATCTCCACTTAACCCAATATAACCTAAAAAGTCCCATAACCCTCTCACAGAAACTCTTTACAGCAGCTGAGATTATGATTTGTGAGTTTGTTTGTCTTTCTTGTCTAAAACCCCAACAGATTTTAGAGACAGCTGCGCGAGTGAACACTATTTAGACAATAGCTTATAATTAATTTGGATTTTGGTAGATTTATTTATTTTTCTTCTATTAAAAACTGTATATAGTGTACATATAACTCTAATTTTTCTCCATATTTTTTCATTATATTATTAAATATTAGATATATTTATAATGTGTATTTCTTTTTTGTGTTGTATCTGGAGCTTCTGTAATAATTGAATTTCCCCAGTGTGGCATCAATAAAGTCCATGTTATCTTAATATTATAAGGTTTCTTATTTAGTGTGTTATGATGAAAATTTTGTTTTTTTATCTTGAAGTAGCCTAGGCTCTGTGTTCTCTCAATGATTTCTGATTAAGTCTGATAATTAGCAGCATTGTGACATTTTGTGTAAAACTTTTCTCTTTTCTCCAACAGGTGTCACCAAACATGTGGAGCATGTTGTCCGTGCATGGCGATTCATTCATCCAGGACAGAGAGGGACAGACTCCGTCCCCCTGCTAAACTCACACTACACCGCTATTAATCTTACAGCTGAGAGAGAGAGAGAGAGAGAGAGAGAGAGAGAGAGAGAGAGAGAGAGAGAGAGTTGTGTGTCTTGGCCATAGTTTG